CTCGTCCTAAGCCCGCCCCTGTGCCAATTGGTGGCCACCATTCTGGGGTACTTGGCAAGAAGGGACGAGGCCTTGAAGAGTCTGATCTTGAGACTCGCTCACCTATTAGGGCTATTCCCGGAGGTACCCGTGGCAGTTGGGGTGGACAGAATGGCCCTAGGAGGCCACGGGATATTGAAACCCGCAGCAAGAAAATGCCAGGTACTGGTGGTCGTCCTGGTGTTCGCCCTCGTCCTTCTGGACGTAGTCTCGACGTTCGCATGGGCGGCTTTGGCAAGACCCGTGGTCCAAGACTTAATCGTCCCCGTCCGGGTCCCCAGTAGACGGTTTGGGGGGCGACAGGGAAAGAAGGAACAAGAGTGGTATTCGATCTGATTGACTGGATGTACTAGATGCGTGTTATATTTACAGTACTTGGTAGTAGCACGGCCTACTAGCATTTGCTTTCATGTGATTCTGCTTTTAGCTTAAGAGCAATTGACGTTTTTATATATTTGCGAGAAAATATCTTGAATCACGGAGCTTAGTGACTGAATGTCGTTTCGATTTCTTGTGCTATCCCCGATAGTTTATTTACCTTCCTCATGTACTGGTCTGTGAGTGCCAACACTAATACGATTGGATTGTACCTAATTTGAATGCTTACTGGTGGTTTGTGCTCGGACATGAAATGTAGCAACCTCTTAAATGCAGGAGAAAGGGGTGGGATGAACATATGGTAATCTCAGGCGTTTTCATCTAGCAGTAGCAGGGAAGAATATTTCGGGGAGTTCAAGCTATCTACTGGAACACTAGCTTCAAAGTTTCTTTATGCCATATGCTGAGAGAGCCAGTTGAGGACTTGGTCAGGATTCTCCTGGAACCACGTGTAGCCATCCCAGCGTTTATCGGTCCCATTGATCCAATAGAGAGTCTTGTCTTCGATGGGGATGTTGTCGAAAATTGCCTGGACGTCATCTGGAGATGTCATAAAATCGGCATAGACTTGATACATGAATGTCGGCATTTTTACGAACTTGGCGCTTGGGATTGGCGTTAGTTGATCGATATGGAAGCTGGTCTGAAGATAGACCCGACCATCAAGATCGTCCAGGTACGACAAAGGAACGCCTCGGCCTTCGAGGGCACGAGTCATGAAAGACTTGGCGGAAAGTGGTTGGACCGCCACCATGCATTTGATGCCCTCGAAGACCTGGGGCTTGAGCCTGACTGCATGGAGGTTGGAGTTGGCCCCGTTGCAGCGACTGAACAGACCAATGTCCATATTCTTGGTATCTTCGCGGTTGCGGATGTAGTTGATGGAACCAATTACATCGCGTGACTCGTAGTGGCCCGAGGTATAGAGCCCATTGTTCCCGTTACCACTCTGTCCATGGTTACGCAGATCGTAGGCTAGGACGTTATAACCGGCATCGTGGAGGAGCTTGTAGTCAGGGATGAAGTTGACTTCCCAATCATTCCCTGGCACAAGGGCGGTCCAAGGCTCTACGCCCGGCAGACCCGCCCTGTTGAACCACCGTGGGTGGTTGGCGATGATGACCTTGCTAGATCCATTCGAAGGAATAAACCAACCCTCAATGGTGACTCCGTCGTCCGCTGGGAAATAGACGTTCTCGTACTCAAGACCTTCTTCGTCTGGCCAGTGCATCAGGGGGGCGATTGGGTATGACCTGAAACCATCGGCCATACCCTGAAGCATGGCTACGATCTCGGGCTCAGAAGGTTGCGTAGTGTTGGTCTGCGCAGCGGCGAGGCCAATGAAGGGAAGAACCCACAGGGCGAGTGAAGATCTCATTCTGTCGTCACAGAGCTGGTTGCTTGTGTTGCAACAAAAGAGTATGAAACGCGCTACGTGTTGCTGAAAAGAAGGTTGAGATGAAGATTGATTTTCGAGATGAAATCTGGCTCTGAGCAGTCACAATATCTGGGCTCAAAGCAGACTAAATATGAGAAAAATTAACTCCGTGATTACCATTACATTCGCTTTATAAACGAAAGAAAGCCACAACTTGTCTCGCTATCAGGCATGGGCATGAGGAATCGTTGATCAAAGGATGGTGATGCCTACCATTGCCAATCAATCCGTGAGTATGATCCTGCATATTAAGCGACGCATCTGTGTGCGTTGTGAGGATTAGGTTTGATCACCTACTAATTATGGGAATTTTCGGCCTTCGGCGGAGATGGGAATGCCTCTTATGGCAAGGTATGCTTCCAAGGGGGTTAATGTCAGACAAGTGGCGGAGTCTCATGAAGATTGGCTGAACACTGCGTCCGTCCGTCGGGTTTTCCGTCGGGACTTTGTATGTGCTTCTAAACTCCCCGACTAGGTCTAACGCCGGTAGAGATGTAGCAACGCTCTCCTTAAATCCCTTGACATCTTTCGGAATATTTCGAAATATTTGGAGAGGCCTAGATAAAACAAAATGAGCTGACTTTCCATACCCAGGTACTCAACAATCAGATTTGCGCAATTCGAACGGGTTCTGCGACAATGAAAACTTCTTGGTTGACTTCTTGGTCAAGACTACGAATTGGCTCTAATCCAAGGGATGATAATGATATATTGCATCTGGTACTAACTGACCAGATAGTAACGCTGCATTTTGACGTTCGGCACACCAATAAATACAAATCAAGCCTGTATTTATAGATGAACAGTTTACACATGAACACCACCGATTCCATGAAGTTACTCAATGACGGCATGGCTTAGCGTCTGTTCTTGACCCTCCATCTACTGGTACTGGGGACAACTAGAGTTGAAACGATCCCTATGTAACCATTACTAAAGAGTATATCTTCAGAGGCAACTCGACACAATGAGTGTATTTATGACGTTGGATCTTGCTTTACTTAAAGCCAGTTGTCTATCCACCGGGCCGGAGCTTACAACCCAAAATCGACCTAAGATTGTTGACCAATAAGCTATTATTAGTAGGGCGCGTTTGTCAAACGATATCGGCCACCGGTCCCACAATTTTCGGTCCTGCGCCCATGACTCGGTATCACGAAAGTTTCCCTTCTGGACTTGTTCCAAAGAGTCTGAAAACATCAGAGCAAATGCACAATACACTTGCTAAGACGAAAGCGACCGTAGCAACATTCCTCCGCCTCTGGTGCTCATTTGATCGGACGTGGGCACCCTCAACAGAACGGGTCACTCAGTAATGGATTGGCTAGGCGACATTGTCAATCTGGAGGAGTTAAACGACGTTGATCCTATTGACCCCAGCGAATGGGCCTCATTGACGACACTCGAAGATGGTACCCACATCGAATCTACGAGGGATCATTCGCTGCCGGCTCAGCTTGTGCCAGAGCCCAGCCTTAAGAGGGTGTCGCCAAGACCACCAGCCAAGATTGGGACACGCTTCTCGCAAGACGCTGTTAGGATATTGAGAGCCTGGTTTTCTTCGCATGAAGGAAACCCGTACCCCAATGAAAAAGAGCGACTGACCCTCGAATTGCAAACTGGGCTCAACGGCACGCAAGTGTACAACTGGCTCGCCAATGCTCGCCGAAGGAGACCAAGGAGCATGTTCCATGAACCCGCAACACCGAGTCGACAGCAGTCCCCAGCACCGATAAACATCCCACAGAGACCGGGAACACCGATGATCCCTCTTCAGAGATGGATGGATTCACCACCCGAAGACGAGCCTGTAGAGGTCTCATCCATTGTCCGCGCAATGGAAGATAATTCTCTCCGCCTGAATCAAGCCGAGAATCTCATTCGCGGGTGGAGCGGAGGTTCGAGTCGATGTTCATCAGCAAGCAGCGTTGACTCGTCTCACTCTAGGAGCAGTTCGCTGCGCTCCGCGGCATCATGGACCTCTTCGAATTCTACAAAACGGAGGAGCCGGCGCCAAGGAAGCCGACGAGGGCTGCCTCGGAATTTGGAGCTTGCCAAAAGACCCCTCGTCTCCCCGACCAAGCCATACCAATGCACGTTCTGTACCGATTCCTTTGGCAAAAAGTATGAGTGGCAGAGGCATGAGAAATCTCTTCATCTGCCTGTGGATAGATGGAAGTGCTGTCCCGACCAGCCACGTCTCATAAATGGACCCGAAGGTCAACTCTGTTGCGTGTTTTGCGGCGAAACTAATCCAAGTGCTACACACATGGAGAGCCATAGTCCGACATCATGTCAAGAGCGCGAGTTCGCCAGGAAAGACCACCTGAAACAGCACCTACGCCTCGTTCACAATGGCACGTTGTTGGACAGCTTTCAAGCTTACTGGAAAGCGGATGCTCCGGATATAAGATCACGCTGCGGTTTCTGTGGCGAGGCTTTGGGTAGCTGGACGTCAAGGACCGACCATTTGGCGGATCACTTTAGAGCCGGACAGGATATGGCCGACTGGAAAGGAGATTGGGGGTTTGATGAATTCATCTTGGCTAGGGTTGAGAATGCTATTCCGCCATGTAAGTCTTCAATCACACTGAATGGCCTACAGACATGTATGGGAACTAATCTGATATCCATAGACTTGGTTGTGAACGAAAGAGACACCCCCTTTCCCTATGCGGCCAGCACCCCGCCTGTAGAAGCACCCAGGTGTGCTTATGAGCGCATCAAGATCGATCTGCTATGGTTTTTGCAATCCTTTCAAGACCAATATGGCCTCATTCCAAGCGATGAACAATTCCAATTGGAAACCTGCCGAATAATATTCTCCCTCGACTCTCTCACATCAGAAGAGGCTTTGGAAAGGGACAGCGCGGCTTCGTGGCTCAGGGACCTAGTCACTTCTAACCCCGAGATTTCACAGCGCGCAAAGCTTGCCCCCGTGAGACGGGAGAATGAGAGTGCGTTCTCATCACGGTCGATGCTTCCTAGAGCAACCAGTTACTTCGAGGGTTGTCCTTTGGAGTATGAGCTTCGGCGCTTCGTCCGGCAAGCATGGGCATCGGGCCAGATGGAGTTGAATGACGCAGAATTACAGGACGCAGCATGTACAGCAATCTTGGAAGTTGACGCGCGTTTTGCAATGCCTCTATCTACATTTGTAGCGAAGTGGCTGGTGAAAGTCAGCATGTCGTCTACAACGTGGTTACAGAAATTCAAAGAAAGAATGGGAGCCTTGAAACTGAGAGTTTTTGGGGCCATGAGCTCCAGCTTGAGCGAGTCACGAACTAGAAACGACAGAGCAGTCACTGAGATAGAATTTCCGCCATTCTACGGCAATGGAGAGATTGCATCAACCCAACCAAGTGCGCCCAGTTTTTCCTTGGATGCAGGATTTGGCGTATGGGATGTTGGCACTGATTACAACCAACCTCAAATCAGAGATCTGTCCAACCCTGCTATCGGAAAGCAGCTAGGCATTGAAAAAGAAGTCCCATTAGAAATATCAACACGTCTTTTTTTCCCAGTTGGGGACCCGTTCGGGGGCGTACCGAACAAAACACATCACGGGCCGGAGTATCACCCCGGCTCGTGGATTACCAAAAAGTTCTACTTTCTCAACGACCCCAAATATCAGCAATTGCTCTCTAGAGAGCTCAAACGATGGGTCAAAGCTACCATTTCGCCCAACAACCCTACAATGCATATACCATCTGATGAGGAGCTGCGTCATCAAGCCCGATGTATGATGTATGACGAGTACGTAAAGTTGAAACTGCCCCAGTAGAGCAAGAAGTTCGTGATGCTAACTTGACCAGTGACACATCATGGGATAGGACTCCCGCGGATAGCCCTGAGTGGCTGCGAAGGTTTAGGGAAGAGGCCGGTATATAGTGTAAAACAGGATGAGGCCGGAAGTGGCACCGACGAAACCTACCTACCTAGAGTTGAAGAACCACGAAGCAGAAATAGGACCATATTTGTGCTCAATATAACACGAGATATTTAATTACCTTCTCACTAATTCCTTAGCTTTATTCGACAACTACCGGCCCTACAAAATTGACTACCGAGATCGGATACAAAGGTATCACACAGGGCGCCGAGGGCGCGATTGACAAGTTGTGACCCACAAGACGGAGCTCGCCTCGCCGAAAGTCTAAACGTGATAAACCGTATCTTCATAACAGTAAAAGGCAATCAAGAATAGAAAGGATCGCTCATTCATCTCGATGTGAAACTCTTCACTCATCTAGATAGTCCCTGGCCTCATGAAAACAATGGAAGTATTAAAGGAAATCGCGAGGATGTCATATTATCTACCCACACCTGGGAATAGTGATACGCCTTGGCTCACCGATTATTTCTTTACATGAGTAAAAGACCCACTGGGCGCGTTTGACAACCTGCAAGTTGTGGATTACACAAACCTACCCTTCCGGCATATAAAGCTATGGTCTTCAGTTTTTTCTATTATGAGGATTGGTCTATTATCCCTCTCAATACCTTAGGGAACGTCAACTTCGAGTTCTATTGCGGTCGATATGGATTCTAGCGATGGAAAGCGAACGAGGAACCCGTGGCTAGGCGTTTTTGGCGCCGCGCTTTTCTTGATATCTACCCATGGTTAGTTACCAGCCCAAGTACTCCCAGACACTCTTGCTGATTTGCAATACTAATCGATACTTGAATAGGATTCGCTCAGTCCATTGGAGTGGTTCAGTCATATTTGGAACTTAACCAGCTACAAGACTACCAAACAAGTGACATTGGTTGGATTATCGGACTCTATTCACTGCTGAGCTTGGTGCTCGGCATTATAGCCGGGCCACTCATCGATTACTTTGGCATAAGGCCGTTGACGGCTCCGGCGTTGGTTCTTTCGACACTGCTGTACTTCGTCATGGCAGAGTGCACTAACTATTGGCATTTCATGCTGTGTCTCGGCGTGCTTGGCGGTGTTGGCGGAGCCGTAGCCAGCACTCTGGCAATTTCAGCCGCGGGAAAACTCTTTGTAGAACGGCGAGGAACAGCTATTGGATTCGCTTTGGCAGGGGCATCAGTGGGAGGGGTTGCCATTCCACTCTTGCTCAATGCCACGTTTCCTCGCTTCGGCTGGGCCTGGTCGATGCGTATATTGGGATTCATTATTCTGGTGTTGAACTTGATCGGGTCACTCTGCCTTGTTCTCGTTTCGGACCAAGTCCCCTTGAATACAGATTTAGGTATCCGGTCAGCGGCGCCGAGCCTGGAAGCCTTTGGATCTGGAACATTTTGCTTTACCACTGTGGGTTTTGCTTTGATTGAGCTTGCCATGTTCGGCATCAATGGGCTGCTCCCTACATTTGCGGTGTCTGTCGGATTCTCGTTGCAAACAGCGTATGTTTTGCTTTCTGTGCTGGCTGGAAGTTCCTTCTTCGGTCGCATAGTTGCCGGCGTGGCAGCAGACTATATTGGAAGTTTCAACGCCTTGGTTATCATGAACACGTTCTCGGCTGTCGTGACGGCTGCTCTGTATGTTCCCTTTGGGGACAGATCTCCCAAAGCCTTGTTTGCGTTTGCAAGTCTCTGGGGATTCGGCTCTGGATCCTGTCTCTCCCTTGTACCAGGTTTGTTTTCGACTACACCAGACCTAGGTGTTGAGCTAATTGAAATGTCCAGCGTGCGTTGGAAAGACTTGCGACAGGAAGGATTATGGAAGATATCTTGGTATGTCGATTCCTCTACTTGTTTTGGTTTTACCACCTAACACGCTCAGGCACAATGCTATCAGTGACGTCCATTTCTGCTCTGATTGCCATCCCTGCCGGAGGAGAGATGTTGGATCGGTTTGGGCCCAGAGCAACCGCGGGATTCTTTCTTGCCACGGCAGTTGGCTCTAGTATCTCTTTCACCTTTGCAAGGTGGCGCCTCGGGGGGAAGTTTTTGAACTTCACTCAAGCGATTTAGAGGACCCTTCGGAGAAATAAGGGGTTTTTGTCCAGGGAAACCGCCTGGGTACTATGCTATTGATTGATTGCCCTTGCAAGCACTGTATCAATGTTTTGTTATTATCGCTGATGCCTCGATAACATACCTGGAAGTAGGTAGAACGAATATAATCTTACGTGTTTTGCTATTAGTCTATGCTGCAGCCACGTCTGCATGATTACGTCTAGTAACGTCATTAAGCCTGGTGAAGTTGTTTATCACTCTTCCAATTGGCCATCCCCAGAACCCCCTGATGGATAGTGCTGTTTCATTCATAAATTCAGCCGTTCTAGTTGGCGGTAACATCGGCGAGCACGCACTGTCACTGGCTTGGTCGGATTAGCCACCGTGTCTCAGTCACATCCGACCAAAATACTCGCCTGAGACATTAATAAAAGCCACCGTTTGGGCCGCCACAAGGTCGAATGTCGGTGGATGACGTTTCCCATGCCCGAGTGTTTCTTCTTCCCCCGCTTCATCTAGCATAGCTGAATCGTACCTCCAGTAGCACGCCTACGATTGCTCATTAAACCTCCGTCGACACCAGAGCTGCGATGCCTCTCCTCGGCAGCGAGGTCGGTGACAAGTCCCTCTACGGGACTGTATTTAGCGTAGGAGTCCTCGCCCATCTCTTAGTATTTCGGCTGGGCGAATGGGATGGAGTTCCCGGTCGGATTGCTGCGTTCTTCGCTGCGATGTACGCGATTTGCAGCGCCGCATCAATCTATGTCCTTGCTGGAGCATATGGTGACATCTCGGCAGTCTTGATGAGTGTGTCCGCACTATTTTTGACACTCCTACTTGGGCTATTCGCATCCATGATGATTTACAGAGCTGTATTCCATCGTCTTCGATCATTTCCAGGACCCAGCCTTGCCCGTATATCCAGCATTTACGCAGCCCGAATGGCGACGAGAAGGTTTAAATACTTCGAAGAGGTCGACCAACTACATCAAGTGTACGGCGATTTCGTCAGAATTGGTACGAAAGTATCCAGTAAGACCATAAGCAATGGATATCGTGCTGACCTCCCTCTTCCTTCATAAGGGCCCAATCATCTATCTGTCGCACACCCCGCAGCTGTACAAGCAGTTCACTCCAGCTCTTCCCGGTGTCTCAAAGGCCCTTTTTATAACGCACAGCTCCCTGCGGTATCTCTAATCACATCTCGTCATCCTCACGAGCACGCACGGCGGCGTAAAATTTGGGACAATGGGCTGTCATTCAAAGGTGAGCTGACAACTGCTTATTGTTGCTCTCTTTACCTTTCCTCTTCTTGCTTCTCATATTCATTCAACTAGTTATCTGAACCATAAGCTAAACCGTTATAGCGATAAGGAGTTACGAGGCTAATATCGCTAAATGTACATCACAGCTTATAAATAATATCGAGGCAAGCCTTGATCGTAGGATTGACATGAGCCACCATTTCACCCTATACACTTTCGATGTGATGGGGACACTTGCATTTGCTAAAGATTTCAAGATGCTGGAATTGAAAGAGCTTCACCCGATCTTCAAGTTCCTGCATGAATCAATGCTATCAGTTGTGATTTTCGGCTATGCGATGTGGTTTCTCACCCTCTTGAAGAACATCCCCGGCTTGGCATTGCCGATGAAAAGGCTGAATGCCTGGGCGGATCAGCAAATTGAAGATGAATTCAGAGTAGGGTAGATCCCAATAGAGGGTATATTCGCACATGGAACTGACGATGTCTTTAGGACAAGCCGGAAACTCCGAATGTGTTCTCGTGGCTGTTGAAGGATTACATGACGCTACCCAATCCTACCCCACAGGATCGAATGAACCTCCAAGCAGATGCTACCTTGATCGTTGTGGCTGGAAGGTAGGCCTGGTATATATTCTGCTGAGAAACAAGCATCAGCTGACATGCGCAGTGATACGACTGCATTGACACTGACGTGCCTGCTCTTTGAGCTTACGAGCCACCCTGACGTGTACCGGAAGCTTCAGAACGAGGTAGACGCACATCTTTTGGACAACAAAGAGCTTCAAAACGACTCCCTTATCGGGATGGAGTATTTGCAAGCGTGCGTTGATGAGTCTATGAGAATACATCCAATCATCCCTGGCGGCGTGCAAAGGCATACGCCCCCACAAGGGCTCCAAGTCGGGGATACGTTCATTCCTGGAGATGTTATCATCCAGGTTCCTATGCACAGCGTTCATTATGGTATGGTAGTTGCCTCACCCTCCAAAAGACGAAACCTAGCACTGCCACGTTTCTGACAATGTATTCTTAGACAAGCGATCGTTTCCGCAGGCCGATCAGTTCATTCCTGAGCGGTGGACATCGAGACCGGATCTAGTCGTAGATAACTCTTGTTTCACACCCTTTCTGACTGGTAAGATTCCTCAAAAATCACGATGTGGTGAATCCCCTTTACTCAACGCGTCTGTAGGCAAGTATAGTTGCCCTGGGAAGCAGCTGGCTTTGCTAGAGATACGGCAAGTCATTTGTGAGATCGCTCGTCGTTACGATATAAGTTTCTCTGAAACCCAAACCAGGACGTGCTTCCTTGAGAATATCATCGACGGCTTCAGCTTGCATTGTCCCAAGCTGGAACTGATCTTCTCGCCTAGGAGCACACATTGACCTTGGTGTTCGAAGGTCAGTTCCTGGTGAGCAAGTAGCTGCGGTTAGTCATCCTGGCTGTGATGGGTTGAGACAATGGGGGCTTGAAAATGGTATGCATATCCGAGATCGCTATCAAGTGAATAAAGGATGAGTTAAACCTTGTCTGATGTACTCAGAATCTCCCGCCGTGAGACATAATCGACCACATTAATTGTCAACTCCCGTTAGCTTATCGACTTGCCTGATAAGAAGTCTAAAAAAAATTAAACCTTTATCTCACCACATGAGATGGGCGAAGGCGTAGGTTCTTGAGGTCATAGAATGGATCCTTATGCCGGGGTAGGCAGCTGTGATTCAGACGTCCACGAGCATGGGTAAATGAATTAATAAACAGACGCTATACAAGCTACTAAGCTTCTTTTCGGTATCTACCGAAAGGAATCCTGGCCTAAGGATCCCTGAAAAGTTGCTGACTGCATGGCCTTGAGTCCGGATAAACTACTAGCAAGGCTGGGAGCGGCCAAGACTTGAGGGCATTGCACTGGCTAAGCGCCAGGGGAGAGGAATCTTTGTTATCTACTCCAGAGATGACATGCTACTATGAAAGGTCTAGATGCTGCTCGTCATGCAGTTAGCCCTGCGTTTATTGGCAGTGAGGATGTCGTCTTGATGCTTCTGGCAGGTCACTTGATGCTTGGCTGCATGTGCTCGAACCGATTAGGCAGTTCGCGCAAGACTTTTGCGGTACCTGCTTAGCTCTAAAATCGCGTCTTTCCTGGGGCAAAATGACCTCTTGCAAGCCATTGAGATGGGCAAATGGTATGGTAGCTGGTGTGGCCGGGTGTATAAGACCATGCTCTCCACCAGCTCAATGTTCCCCATCCATCTCGCTTCCATTGTATCTGGTCAGGTCTATTAGGGTTGAGGACGTACATCATGCGGTATTCTTCGATCCTTTCCACATTCGCCTTGGTGCCTTACCTAGCAGGTGTTGGAGCCTCAGTGGCGATAAGTCGGCGTGAGGAGGAAGAAGCAGCCACAGTTCGGGTAGCCAAGAGCTTCATCATCGAATATGCCTCGGTATGAGTTACCCTCGAGCTAAAGATAAAATCAATCGACATGAAACATTGACAAAAAGACAGAGTACGGCGAAGACTCGCCGCCAGGATCTCTCAGAGAATGATGACATCACGGTGGTTAAGACGTTCGACAGCGAAGTCTTCCATGGCGCAAGTATCGAGACAGAGACCTTGTCCTTTGACGAGCTCGTGAAAATACCAGACGTATTACATGTTTGGCCCAACGAGAATGTCCAACTTCTTCCGACATTTGATCAAAAGCCGGCTGAGGTCAGCGAGGCGTTGGAGTATACAACGCACAATGTGACAGGCGTAAACAAGCTTCATGCCCAAGGCCTGTTCGGTAAAGGCGTCAAGATTGGTGTTGTCGACACTGGCATCTGGTACAATCATAAAGCTGTAAGTGTCCTGAACGAAGCAGTGGAAAAGACAAGAACTTAACTGACATGTGGGAAAAGCTTGGGGGAGGCTTTGGTGCTGGCTTCAAGGTTGGAGGGGGGTATGATTTCGTCGGCAATGGCGGTAGGTTAGGTCCCCTCAACTATAAGGCACAACCTGGGCTGACAGTAAATCGCAGCTTGGCCCACTGAAGGGCAAAAGGAGCCCGATGAAGATCCTCTTGATCAACGAGGTCATGGAACCCACGTAGCAGGTATCATTGCCGGCCAATCCGAGGGTTGGAAAGGTGTTGCGCCGGAAGCTACTCTCTACGCCTACAAGGTGTTCACTACGGCTGGCAGCACAGATACGAGCACCCTCATTGAGGCCTTCCTGACCGCATACGATGATGGAGTTGATATCATCACCGCATCCATCGGCGGTGCCAACGGGTTCTCTAACAATGCCTGGGCTGAGGTTGCCTCTAGGCTGGTTACTGAAGGCGTCGTTGTTACCATCAGCGGTGGCAACTCTGGATCTAACGGCCCATTCTACGGAAGCAGTGGCTCATCGGGTAAGAACGTCGTTGCTGTCGCCTCAGTCGCCACGGACATATTTCCCGCGAGTGCCTTTGAAGTCACTGTTGGTGGCAAGACTGTTCGTGCTGGTTACATTCCCTCAACCGACTATTTCCCGGCGACCGTGTCCGACTGGCCCATCGTATCTCTTTCTCTCGATTCTGAAGCTACAGCCGATGGCTGCGAGACCTATCCCGAGGGCACCCGTAACTTGACCGGAGTCGTGCCAATTGTTAGACGTGGAGGCTGTACCTTTCAAGCCAAGCAGGAGAACCTCGCGGCATTGGGAGCAGAATATATCCTGATCTACAATAACGATCAACCCATCCTCTCTCCATCAACCGAGAATCTAGACAGCCTGATTGGAATGATCTCTAAGGAGACAGGGGCTAGCCTTGTGGCTGCCCTTAAATCAGGCGACGAAGTCACAGCCGACTTCTCAGTGAATCCCGAGATCCCCGTTGGTGTCGATTATAGCATTGGTAATTTGCCCAACACGTTCACTTCTTGGGCGACACTGTACAACCTTGAGCTGAAGCCTGATATCGCGGCCCCCGGAGGCAGCATCTTCAGCACATGGATCGATGGCACGTATAACATCATCAGCGGCACGTCCATGGCCTGCCCCTATGTCGCCGGCGTTGCGGCTCTCTATATTGGAAAGTACGGCAATCGTCAAACTCTCGGAAAGGGCTTCGCATACGAACTCACACGCCGCATCATTTCGTCAGGAACTGCCGTTTCGTGGTCAGACGGCACGTCGGCCAACCGCGCCTTCAGCGCCAGCACTGCACAGGTCGGCAATGGGTTGATTGATGCATGGAAGGTGCTCCATTACGATACTCAGCTCGAGTTCCAGAAGTTTGCCTTAAACGACACCAGGTATTTCAGCCGATATCACGACGTTACTGTCTACAACAAGGGTAAGACCGCGGTGTCGTACGAGTTCTCTCAACAGCCCGGGGCTGGCGTTGACACAATCACCTGGGTCGAGTCTGCAAAGACCAAGAGGATCCGCACCTTTGCCCAACTATCTCCCAAGGAGTACGTTCCCGGGGTCAGTCTCCCTCGTGGCTTTACCCTTGAGCCTGGAACGAGCAAGAAGGTCACTGTCAACTTTGAAAACCCTGATACTTTGGGCTGGAACTCGACGGCGCTGCCTTTGTATGGTGGCAAGGTCGTTGTGACAGGCGGCAACGGCGAGATTCTCTCCGTGCCATACCTTGGTAAGATGATTTCAGCCTACATGGTAATATTTGGCAACTTGTTAACATGTTCTAGGGCTTGGAGGCGACTTGAAGAACGAGCTTGGGTCTATTATCGAGACGGGTTATCCCTACTCGGTATCGACAACCAAGAACACCAACTTCAAGGAGAAGTCCACGTAAGTATTCGCAATTGAGATCTGGCTTCCAACTACTACATGGCTGACTCGTAGATGTTACAGATACTCCTTCGACCTGTCCACCGGCGCGCAGGACTTCCCCAAGATCTTCCTCAAGCTTATCTGGGGTACGACCGAGGTCCGCTGGGACATTTACAAAGCAGGCTTTTCGGAGCGCTCATGGAAATATCCCCCAGTTGTCGGTGAGAATGATTACGTCGGCTCGGCTGCATCATGGGTTGGGGCCGGCCAGGTCGACGTCTTCGATCCCTCGCTATACGATCCTAACGAGACGTGGAGCTACCCTGACACCAACGTTTACCGCAGCGTCGCCACCTCAGAGTTCGAGCATTGGTGGTTTGGAAAGCTGGCAAATGGAACCCAAATAGAGCCTGGAAAGTATACCATTCGCTTCGCGGTGCTGAAGCCTTTCGGTAATCCCTATAATGCCGATAACTGGGATGTCTACAGGCCAGATTCGGGGCTTCCTCAGATCGAGGTGACTGGAAAGTACTAGAGACTCCCCAAAAGAGAGGAGAAGCCCTTGTGTCGCGGAACGTAATTTATAAATAGTGGCTATTATATTCGCATAGACTCATCGGGTGTGTGCAAAGACAGGCAATGGCGTACAGCATGGCATTTATGCAATTCTTGTGCTTGCCCATTCCATCCCCTCACGTTCCATGACTTCTCCATACATTAGTCCATGAACATATGCCTCCCCTATTAAAGAGTACTCCAGCTTAGCGTCGGGTGTATCATTGCCAGAGGGCGCAATGCCACTAGGCCGCTCCCGGAGGATGAAAGGTGTGCAGCCTCCAGAAATAACGTAGACAGCATCTCCCGGGGCCATATATGATGGCCCAAGCCCAAGATAACCATTGCTGGTGGTAAACAGGGTCCTCCGTCCAGTTACCGTAGCGACGTTCGTCAACGCAGAGTTTTCTGCGGGATTCTCCTTCGTCGTATTCCTAACTTTTAGTTCCGTCTTTCCGATCTTAGCCATACTGAGGAAGAATGGAGTGTGAAACCTTTCCACCGTTCGCTCATCAGCCGCGGCCCCATCCACGAAACTCGAGAGCGAGGACGCAAGGGTCGAAATCTCCACGGCGGAGATAGGAGACGAGTCTGTTGAACAATTCACACAGCAAGTTCGAAGAAAAGCTTCGGCGGTAGTCATGGATCCTTGGTAGAGAGGCCCAAGCCTTTCGGCGTGCAACGCCCAGTTAGTTAGTCTCCCAAGAAAGCCGAAATCTGCAGGTACAATCTCTGCAACAGCATCGATAGTGCCGCATTCATAAGATAAAACCTCCATGGTATTTGGTTTCTCATTCACTGGCCAGGAAACAGAGGCCACGGAGTCACCAGCAGCCCTATATGCACCGCATCTGCGTCCGTAGGCTAAACTCAAGGGCACGGGTAATGGATCTGCGAAGTTGGGCACCCACGATGGCCACACTGATTTATGTAAATCGTATTGCCCATCGCGTTGATTTAGGACGCAAATGGAAAAATTCCCTTCGTTAGCCAGAACCCATTTTGTTGTTTCTATGCAAACCTCCATAATAGGCTGCTCGTAATTTGGTTGAATGTCGAAAGCAGGTTCTCGAAGTCCAATCAGACTATATATCTTGTCATGAGGGACAGATGTCATGAACGGCTTTGTCGCATGTAGACAAGTGAACAATTTCACGTCTAATTCATTCCACCAGAAGTTCATCCGAGCTTTGTCCAAGCTCATGAGTAGATAGGGTCTAGGCGCAGTATCTATTGTCACTATTACTCCAGTCAGTAGATTTTCGCAAGGTCATTTGCTATCGGTGGCTTACCTCCTCTTCTCTTGTCTAAGAAAAGAGACAGAGACTGGGAAAGAGAAAGAGTGTAAACAACAGCCATCATTTTCGCCCACGGAATCTCATGTCGACCGCACTTAATAAGAACTTCTAAGCCCCGTGTGACTTCTTGGATGACCCAGCCTCTTTGAAAGACAGGTCTATTAAACATTTCGTAGACGGCCCTCCACGCAACGGAGTCCGCGGATAGATCCGGTACGTCTGCAAGATCAGGGATCTGGCTCAGGTTTCGTAAATTTGGCGTCGGTGGTTTCGGAACCTTTGTGAGATAGTTGCCGAGGGCTTGAAGAATTCTAAAGGCGGCATCTGTGTTCGGCTCTTCTTCTCCTACCCATAGAACCACTCTTTGTGATTTGCTGTAGACGTGGCTCATATATCTCACTTGAATCTCGCGCTCTTTTGTACTGCCCTGGTCGATGCATAGCTGATCTACCCATAAAACTCTGCATTTCGTGGGATGACGTAGAGCACGCAGTGCATCTCTCAAGCCTGGGCTAATGCCGATGAACTTGTCTTCATCAATGAACATTGGTACGCTTAAGTCCCATCTTAGAGCGCCCCGATGGTCTTCATCGTCTTGTGAAGACCATGTGTCTATGGCAGGCCTGTCGCCGGGCGTCCGATACCATGTGTACGACAGGGCCTCATATTCTGGTGGCTCGTTGAGATTGATTACACTGATAGTGCACTTCAACCTATCTGGCCCAGTGCCTGGAGCCAGGTCTATAACACGGGACGCGCGTTGCCCGTCCGCGAGTAGCTCGTAAAATTGAGGTTTCGCACTGTAGTTGTACTTCTCCAGCGTGATAAGGCCATCCAGAGTCAGGAGATTCTGGAAAATCACGCCTTTCTCCGGTTTCTGTTGCCCTTCCATTTTCGCGGTACCAGGCGGATGAATTGGACGGAAATGCTTTTCAACACCACCACCCTTTTTGGTTACATACTCTGCAATAGTTGGTCCAGGTGGGACCTCTCCGATAGTCTGAACTTGGGTGCGGCTTGCGGAAGAGGGATCGATGTTAACTTCTTCATTATTTTCCGATTGTTCGTGCAACTGGGGTTTTGTTTGGTCTGTTGTGACAGTCTGAATGGTCCCGGCAGGCAGCGCTTCTTTTGTTTTGCCATGATCTTGCTTCTCCAGAGAAACAGACACCGTAATACAACGTAGCATGGCGTGAGATCGGCTGTGCTTGTTGTTCTCGTTATCAAAACAATTTTCACAAAAGTCAGTATTTTCGCATACAACACACTTGTACCGGATACCCTTGATGTAGGATTGACCAAAGGAACATCCGGGGCCATCACAACAGACACCCAAGTGAACGGTCGGGTTCTCTGGGTCATGCTCAGGTTCGCTAGCTAGTACGATGATGGGATTTGACTCCATCTTCGCCTTTCGTTTCAGATACGCGACTGGCATTGCAAAAACACCCGAATTGATATACCTGGACATGAGTTGTGAAAATAGAAATGAGAGACGACCAGGCCGAAGCTTATATGACGTGATACCCAGTGCAATGGAACTTTAGGCGTTTTGTGACGTCGCAGACCACCTTGGCAACCAGCCAAATATGATGTGGTTGTCCGAGTATGTATATGATGTGCTGATCCTGCAACGTCAGGTGGCTTAGCCAGTTAGGCGTCTAAACGCCGTATTCACCTCTACGAAGTTCATACCTTGTCACCAGATGCGAATTGGAAGAATATGATTGTCACGCCCCAGATGAACTGACAACCATCATTCGATGTGCATTCGAGCGCGATCTATGTGGTCTTCCTTTCTTCTCTTTTCCTTTGCTTCTTGCATCATCTTTCTTTCGTTTGCTCCCTCATTGGGCGACATATGTATCCCCTGACGTGGTGCAGATCATATCACTCGATCTGCTCTACATGAACATTAACTGTCGCAGGGCAGTATTGTATCCATGAGTTTAGTAGTCTTGACGTTTGCTATCGTCACGTCTTCCTTTGGTGTCGGCCAACTAAAACTGGGGGCTGCCAGGTGGACTCCCGCAAGCAGACGTCAAGCCGTGGCCGCTCGGGTTTTGAGTTGGCCGGGACCAGTTGGCGCAGCCTACAGTGCAAGAAAAAACAGGGAAAGGCCAATATAAGCTCTTAAGACCCTTCCGTGGTACGCAGATATGTTCGCTCTCCCGTTTCGTCTTCATTGATCTACTTCGCCCCGGATCAGCCGAGAACTTTCTGTAATGCTGAATCATGGCTGTGCTGTCGCTATTAACGTAATTTTACGCTCTCTGATCTGAGAGTTAGGCATTGGAGGCTAACAGGGGTATAGAAAGGGCCAGACTTTGGCTGATCTTGATGAGTGCGACACAGCCCGCGTTGTTTGATGAATCACACTGATTTTACCAATGTTCAAAATGGCGACCGTGAGGCCACATTCGCCATAATGCATTTCAGGGTTATAAAATGAATCATGTTGGGTAGTTTCAGTGAGTGTTTGGGGCGGTTTTGCCCATCAATGCCATGATGATGCGACAGGGATTTCAGCCCCTCTGTATCAGAACAAGCTGTCTTACTCTGATCCAAATTTAGCTGTACCAGGTACCGTTGGCTCCCTATAAACTGTTCCGTGGGCCCGCGCTGATTCAACGCGCAGCCTCACGCGACCAAAACAACTCGACATAACTCACCTCCCGTACTCTCCAGCTGGCTGGAGATACATCGCCGCCATCATGCTGTCCATCCTGATTATCCCCGCGGCCTCAGCTCTGCCGCTCACCTACCGAATGGTCGTCGCTGGCGTCTCGGCCCACGGTTATGACATTCGCGCTCTTCACCTCCCCAGCATCGGCCTACCCAAAGGTCCCAGGCCGGGAAAGCCACCTAGCATGTACGACGATGCAGCCTACATCTCGGACCAAGTCACTGAGCTTGCCAATGAGGGTCGTGACATCTTGCTCATTGCGCACTCTTATGGAGGCGCGCCGGCTACTGAGGCCGTCAATGGGCTGAGCAAGGCAGAGAGGAAAAGGGAAGGCAAGCGTGGCGGAATCGTCGGCCTTGCGTATATGGGATGTCTCGTGCCTGGGATGGGCGAGCCTGCATCTTCAGGCCCCTGGAGTCCTCTCATGGAAATTGGGGTTCGTTTTCTCGCTCCACGTAAACAGTCGAGGTAATGCTAACATGTATATAGGAGGATGGCTGGTTCTACTACCCCGACGAGAAGACCACAGCCAAGATCTTCTTCTCGGATCTCCCTCTGGACCAAGGTCTATACTGGGCCTCAAAAATGGTGCGACATTCGGCTGCTAGCTTTATCTCGCCCTTGATCTACACAGGTTACAAAGATGTTCCAGTATCATATTTGATTACCGAGGGCGACAAGTCTATTCCGCCACGCAAACAGAGATCCCAGATCAGAATGATAGAGCAGGCGAGCGGAAGGCGAGTCGATGTGTCAACAACGACTGCTGGCCACGTTCCCTCTCTAACCGCTCCAAGCGAGGTCATCAACTGGATTCTCGCCGTCGCATCGAAGCTGGATGCCAAGAAGTAACTTGCGTGAAAGATTTAATCGGAAGCAGTTGAGCCGCAATTGAGTTGCAGGCTTGATCCGAGATTCCGCAAAAGACTGACATAGCCCAATGATCCTCAGCACAGACAGCCATTCACGCACAATCAGTCTCATTCAAGGGACGAGTAAACGGACTCAGGCCTTCAGCCATGCTTCTTAAGTATCAGAATCTATTTAAGGGGATCCGCCGATATTCTGAGAATGGCACAGAAGAGTGCACAGCCTCATCGACCAAAAGGTCACCCGAGATCCGTGCATTGCCTGATGCCTATGGTGCGACTTCCCCGGACGCTCACGGGTTGGCGACGTGTTCGAAGCGACGTGTTCGAAGTGGGCAAAGAATCGCATGACATTGCACCCTATGCTATCTTGAGCCGAGCAGTGGCTACGGGAACATGCGGATCGACATGAGGCACAAGTGTTGCAGGAAAAAGACAGAGAAACAAGCTGTGTCTTGGGGGTGCGGATAAGATCATCTTTGTTTACCGAACTCATTGCAAATGAACCCGGCGTGCAGAAATCCAACTTGACAAAATGAACCTTAGCAATGGGTTGAATTGCCAGGACCGTCAAGAATCAGTTTGCGATTAATCTGATTCCCTACGCAGCCAGACAAAACTGCGTAAGTCCTATGTGTCCTCCGCATCAAATGAGGTAGAAGAGTTGGAGTTTGTAGTTGAAATGGAGGGGCATCACATAGAAAGCGTCGCCATATGAATATTATCAAGACTTTGCCACATGACTATCGATCCGTCTTAGCAATATTGATTCGGTATTTTTACATGACAGTATAAATATACTTCGAAATCAAAGTTTAAGAAAACCATTTAGATTTGGGTAAACCGTTGGCATGAAACAGGAAAATACTAGTGATCATCCCAGTTCCGGTCTCACACGGACGACGAGCATCTGTGGCGCTGCCAGTGACAAACTGTGCCTATAATATTACCACACTCGTCGCGATTAGTAAGATTAATCCGGTACTACTTTTTTGGACCGGATAGCTGGCACCCGACACACTCCATGAAACACGTGAGTTTCATTGTCGCCTGCTTCATAGGCGTGACCTCACTTCCTCCGTAACTAGACGCATCGCATATAAAACCCAATAGATCGACATTAGACATCTGCATAATGAAAATTTGCTCATTACGAAAAATTAGATTAAAAAAAAATATGGACTAATCATTTCGCATCTAAATTACACTATATATTGCATCGCAATAAAACAATTAATAACCAAACATCTTTCGTGTACTTGAACGATGAAAAGCCAGACTCTTCGTATTCAAAGGCCCTGTCCAAAGTCGAAATTGCAATAACGTCCATCGATATGAAATAAAATTTTTCTTCACGCCTTTATTCTTACTCAACGAAGAGTATTGGCCTTGAATCAACTGATTGACTTCCATCTCCGTACAGTGTGCGATGCATCAAGTTCCAATACCCGACGTGGCTGCTCAAGCTCTACAAAGCCTGTCAGTTGTTTGATCCCTGATCGGTGACACTCCATTTCTATCAGGGCCGTGGAGTCAAGTTCCGTTCCGTGTTTGGGATGCCCTCTGTAAAGACCTGCATTGAAGAATTCGCGGTAGCTGCGCTCTGGAAGATCCTCTCCTCCTGGTGTTTCTTTCGGTTCCCATGGGTCAGGCCCTACAAGGTGCTGTTGACGGCGACGCTGAAAGAACCAAAACACCCCAATGATCAGTGCGCCGAATGCAAGGCCTCCGAGAGTGACGCCGATGATAATGCCAAGTATTGACTTCTTTCTGCTAGATGCGGTATCTGTTCCTGGGCCTGTAAATTTCATCAGTTGTGCACTATAGACGGATTTCTTGTTCTTTCACGTACCGCCTAGTGGTGTGCTAGTCGAGGAAGAATCTCTCGTGGAAGTAGCACCGGTCGATCCTGACTCGTTTGGAACAACTTCTGTCGGCGCAGATCTAGATCCAGAGGTAGCAGCTTCAGAAGTAACAACTTCAGCCGAAGTAATTTCACTGGAAGCACTCGTGCTAGTAGAAGCTTCAGAGGAAGCTGATGAATGGCTGGACTGGGAAGAACTAAATGTAGAGCTTTCTACCGTACTCTTTTGCGTCGATTCAGGTACAATCTGAGATGAGCTCTGAGGCTCTGATGTCTTTACGACTTCGCTTATGAGAGATTCTAATTTGGTCGGAATGGTACTAGTTGGGGGAGCTTCACTTATTGGAGCAGCTCCAAGCGGGTCGAGAGAAGTTTGTGTATCACCTGCATCTACAGCTGAAGATGTAGTAGTTTGAATATTGCTTGAGACAACGTACACCGGGTACGTGGGGTAGTCACTAATTTGAGTTATCAGGCCAGTCCTCCAGGCTGGGGGTGGATGGCGTACCGTTTTACGAGAGATTCGGTTGAACCTGTTGATATCAAAGTCGGCACATCACAATGAGGGTTCTGATGTTCGTCGCTTGTGACCTCCCCTCGCCGGTGCAAGAAGGAGTGGAACTTGTTTTGCACCACGTGCCTGATATCAGAGAAGCTCCGATAGGCGCCGATGACAAGTTGGTTTGAGTGTTGTGTTTTGGTGGCTTGTGTCGGCTCTTCTTCTAGTCTAGCTGATATGGCTCCTAGCAAGAGAGTCTTGATGACGAAGCCCTGTAACAGAGGACGGAGTTGCATTTCAACCGGCTTTAGGCGCGCTTGCGTGTTTGGCAGACTGCGCTTTACTAGCGGTTAAGAAGCGACGGGTTAAAGGAAAACACAGTAGCACCAATTTGTGGACAAGCCATACGTATTAGGAGATCTCATGTGGGAAACCGGAAATTCAGAAAAGGGGTGACGATCTGTTGACAAAGGATTTTGAGGTTCCGTCATTAGTGTTGCATCCGCATGCACGTGGGCGGCTCTAGGAACTCGGCTTTGGAGGAATCGTCCACAGTCAGACCACCCCTGCATAATTGCTGGCGGTTGAGTTGGATTGGGGTCGGGAAAGTAACATAGGGGACCTCGGGGTTCCTTTCTCTCGATCCTCAGGATTTCATTGTAGCATTATTTCGCAAAGTCGCATGTTTCGGATTTCAGCTGTCAGGGGGACAAACGAATCGATTTTCACCTGGTTAACCTCCACTTTGATAGTGGCAAATTCGAACCACAAGCTTGAGTCTTTGGAAACTTGCTTCATCCCTATGGCAATTTCGGCAATGCCGTACCTGTGGCACACCAATCTCGTTTGAATTACGACCTCCAGCCGCCGTATTCTTTGATCGGTTGAATAGTGGAGCTTACTTATTGCTAACGTTGGTGCTTATGGTTCTGTGAATAAGTTCCGAATTCTTAATTTCATGAAGAAGAAGCACCTCACCCAGGTTGGAGCTTTTCATCACAAATATATCCAACTAACCAGCCACATAGTGACAATCACCAAGAAACAGGGTGAGATGCTAGAGCCGACGTCTCAACACAATCAATAGTGAATGCAATACAAACATAAGACTCAGCCTTGGCTTCAATTTCCAACTTCGGCTTAGTGATATGAATATTTGGGAAATAGAGAGTGCCTGTTTCTCAATATGCATGTTCTTCCACCTTTCTTGATCGATCTCGCTAGGGACATAGGCTTATTCTAGCGCCTCGTCTCAATGTACCTGGAATTAAATTTTCAAGTCATGTCTCCGCGTTAGACAATTACACCGCTATTAACTCAGTAGGAGAATCAGAGAGAAGGAGGTCGTCGCTATTATTTTTCCTCGATCACCGAATATCAGGGGGCCTATATTCTCAGACGAGGTGGTAGCAGGTTGAGGAGAGTACGTAGTAGTCTCAAAATGCGCGAGTGATCGAGTGCCGGTTGTACTATATCCCGAGAACTGACTCATACTCTTTGTACTGAATGTGTTGGTGGCCGAGCGAGACATCACTGTCGCAGCGTCCAGGGTTGGAGCCGAGTCGTAACTTTTCATCGTCAAGGTCAAACGATCTTCGCCTCGAACTCCAAGAACCTGCTGATTACTCCCGGAGGAGCAAATATCGGGTCCAACCAGGTATCCGTTTATCACATGGTAGTATTGATGGCATGGTTGACCCTCGAGGATGCCTCTAACCATTATCTAATTTGAATCAAAAATAATTAGATCGCATTGATAACGCGTGGGTGCAAGTGGGTATAAGAAGAGGTCACATCACTCACTCCATTGCTACTATATGGGCATATCGCCTCGCAGCTGTATTGAGGATCTACCCAGTTCCGATAATCAATGAACAGTCCCTTGCTGCCGAGACAATCATGTAGGCACTGAATGTGAGTAGGCCGGACACCCTCACAACACAGACACGCTTTGAACTGCGACTTGTTGTTGTAAGGACAGTTGTGGATGCTCCTGGCCACTTTACATTCTTCGCATTCCATTGCAACGCTAAGCATGACATCCTTTGGCGTCACTTTGACTAAGCCATCGTTGTTATCCTCTGTGTTGTTTTCGTCCCGTTCCACATCCATGAGCTGAAGCCTGTCTTCAGGACTGCCCCGCCTGACGTGAAGTGTATACAGTCGATTCATATGCCAGAAGCCGCACTTAAGCATTTGATTGATAGATATCCGTTGCAGGAGGCAGACGGCAAGCCGATCGTTGCGACCGCCCGCTAAGTCAATGCAATTTTCGTCATACTGTAAGCCATTCCAGTCAACACCTCCGGGGTTGAAGTCGCAGTCGCAGAAAGCCAACTGCAAGAGGAACCAAAGAAATATCAGTTCAGATCGCATCATAACAAATAGTGAATGTTCGGCGGAAGGGCAGCTCAATGGTGCAAGGATCATGCCATCGTTAGCAGACCGCTACTTCCGGCTTCGGCATCAATGTTGCGGAAATTGAATGGTATTCTCAGATGGCCATCTCAGTGGTATTTAATTCTTCATTTTTAGACATGACTGATGCAACATGTGGATGATCTATCCCTCATTGTTTTTTCCAAGCCACGCTGTAGTTCGCCACAACACCACTATGCAGCTTCGCCCCATGCTACGAGACAGGACGAATCAAAATGGGCAGACGTTGCGGGGTTTCTAAGCATACCCTGCCAGCTAAGGTACCGTTTGAGGAACATCTTACACGACGTGGTACCGATGAAGGATGTTCGAGTTGATCACTACGTCGCACCGCTACGTATACCTAGAAAAAGTACCGCATTGCCGACCCTACCTAGCCTACCATACATCTATGAATAGTACGAGGATACGTCATTACAAAGCTTGGGCTGGGTGTCTACGCCCTAGTATGTTTTGGTTTATCACCACTGCTACATCATGTCAATCCCAGCACTGCAATTCTAAGCCCCAGTTTCAGCGTGGTCTTTCTTTTTTTATCCATCGGAGTATGCTTTACCTGGGAGACGTCTTCCCTGGCTGATCTTCCACCTGGAGACTTCAACATCTATACCTGCGGACAGCGCGATGACTGTTGACGACTGCATGTTCCTTACTGTATTTGCCGTTGCAGCCCTCACAACACTTATCAATTACCTTTTACGTATTCCCCGTTCCAACAGGACACCGCCTGGAAAAGTCTGTTACCGCGTTCAGAATGTCCCCGCTAGTTGGAGCGAAGATGCTTTGCGAGAGGCCTTAGCCAATCATTTTAGGGACAGTGGCAGCATCACCATTAAATCCGTTTCTGAAGATATCGATGGAAAGTCCAAAGTGTGCACTATTTTATTTGAACGCGTACCTCCGCTGCTACTCAAAGGATTTAAAGGCAATGTAAACTACTATAGCATGCCGCCTCTTTGCTTGGATCGTGCCTTTCTCGGTCTGAGTGTCCTTTATTGCCCTCCCTCACAAGATCATCACGTTGAGTAAGTTGACACCATCTAGGCCAATGCTATTTGTTTGTTCTGTGATGAAAATTGACGATGGCTAGTGTTATACTTGTCCCCGGGCTTGGTGGCCATGCCATGGGGTCCTTCAAAGAGCGGAAAGGGGAGCACGTGTGGCCACGAGACTCGCTACCGACCGCCCTAGTAGGGAGTGACGGTCAGAGCCATGGCTCTCCCATCGCAAGGATCATCACCTACGGCTACAGTTCTGGAGTCCAGGGAAGTAAGAGCGCACAGCATATCGGAGACATTGCCAAGTCATTCCAATCCAGTCTCATGGAACTGGTCAGAGGCTCTGATCTGCGGCCTATTGTACTCATAGGTCATAGTATGGGAGGTCTAGTGATAAAGGAGGTGATATTCCCACGTTATCTTTTGCAGTGGAGAAGTAATGCTAATATACGGAAAGACGTTGATATCATTGTCACAGTCTAATAATGAGAGGAATACTAAGTTATTCAGAGCAATACGTGGTATAGCCTTCTTTGGGGTACCACATACTGGCATGGACGCCGAGAGCATTCGGGCCATGGCTGAAGACGGCCCAAACCGCCCATTGACTGATTCTCTCAGCAGCGAAAACTCATATTTCCTGACCCAACAACTAGTTGCATTTAACAGGCTACTAAAGAGCAACGCCAGTTCAAGGATTGAGATCATATACTTTTATGAGACAGAGTTGTCTCCTACGGCAAAAAGGGTGAGAAGTTCTAAGCTTACTGCCATTCATTCAAAAGAAGTAGCTGACAGCCGGGAAGGATATCAATGGAAAGTGGGCAATGAATGGCCCAGAGAAACTACTTGTTCCAGCAGCTTCCGCCTCACTACAGTGGGATGGTGAGCGCAGCAACCCTGTCAAGCGCACTCACTCTGAGATGGTCAAGTTTGGACAGTACGATGATGAGTGGCAGAAGGTTTCAGCTCATCTCCGAGACCTTGTCGGTCAGGTTGTAAGACACCAAGGGGAAGAAGAATCCAGTATGTTACCAATTACCTGCAGGAGCGGTCAACGGCGAGAAAGAGCTGCTAATCTCACCTCAACTTGTCATAGGACGAGCTTTGGAGACCCAGCAGGCGGCTAATAAGGCTATAGAGGGTGGGTGAGAATGTTTCTTATACGGAACTTTGCTTACAATTCCTAGAATGTGGCGAATTGCTTGGCTTCAAGCCTTCGGACATGAACACCCGGAGTGATAGTCTTGAGCAGATTCGCCTCCCGGGTACTTGTAAATGGTTACTGGATAATCCGGAATTTTGTGAGTGGAAGAGCAGTAGAGTCGAGCAAAATCAGCAAGCCCGTCCAAAAGTCCTTCTTCTGAAAGGCAAGCCTGGGTCTGGGAAGTCAGTGGCGCTGAAGGCTGCACTTGAGAGCTGCATGGAAGAGGATGGTGAGAAATCGAACTCGCAGATTACGCTATCCTTTTTCTTCGATGCTCGCGCCGGGTGTTCCGGGAATCAGCATTCAGAGATTACCATGTACGGAGCTCTATTGCTACAACTGATGGCTAGGCTTGATGCCGGAGTGTTGCTCGAATCCAAGCATGACATCATCAAACACTTGAAACATCTGGACAGAGGTGGTAAATCAACAAGAGTTCAAGATGCTATTCATCTTGTGCTAGGACATCTCAAATGCCAACGGCTTTTCATGTTCCTTGACGCTCTAGACGAGAGTGCAGACTTGAGTATCGGGGAATTGGTTTCTTTTTTTGATCAGTTACTGAAAAACACACAAGATGGAATCCTCAGAGTGTGCGTTTCCTCCTGCACGCCAATCCTCATCGAGGAAATTCTCGACACAGTTAGGCTTAATGTGTCGGAAATGAATCAGTCAGACATTGATAAGTTCCTGATGGAGAAGTTAAAATGGCTAGAGCGCATGCGACCCAAGGAATTCCAAGAAATAGTCGAAAGGCTCTCAACCCGCGCATCCAATGTCTTTTTATGGGCGGACCTTGTTGTGGAGCACATGGGAAAGCAAGATGTTGGACGCTGGAGGTCAGATCGGGAAATGCTTGACTATATTGATCACATGCCATCAAAGCTCACGGCCTTGTATCAGCATCTGCTTCATCGGATAAGTGATGACGACCGGACAGAAGCATGTGACTTATTTCAGCTAATACAGGTCGTTAAGAGGCCACTTACAGTTGAAGAAGCCAGGTCGATGCTAGCAAGCTCCAGAGGCTCCGATGAGCAGCCGTTCAATTTAAAAGATGTTGACATCGTTGGCCGAATTCAGTCCCTTTCCTGCGGGCTTATCGAGTGTCGGTCTACTCACTATGCAGCGAACCAAATCGTTCAGTTTGCTCACAAGTCTTTCAGCGATTTCCTTGTCAATGACGCCGGACTAAGCCTCAACGAACAGATCGCAACGAACCCTCTAGCGAAGTTCCATCTTCGCATCTTCGGACTATGTATGCGCACAATTGGATACCGAGTAGATAGTCGGGATGCTACCGGGTTCCTACCTTATGCTGCGCAGTTTTGGATGACGCACGCCAGAGAGGGTGACGAATGTATCGACGAAAACTTCCAACTTCCAAGTGCACTCAGCGATTGTGATAGTTACGACGCGGGAAGGGTTCTTAAGTTTTTCAAGAAATTTGACTCTTATGATCATTATAAGCACTACAATTACAGAGAAGAAGTCCCCAACAGCGTTTGGCTTGAGTCAGAAGACAGCTTGATCGTGTTTCTCGCGTTCGAAGGCTGCAACAAGCTCGTTTCTCGCCATCTGAAAACTTGTCGAAAATGCCAATCACCCAACGAGTATGGGGTATCTGGCCTCGAAAAGGCGTTCTTCCTGGCTGCATACCGCGGTTTCACGTCCACCGCCAAGGTAATTCTAGAAGCCGCTACCGCTTCCGGGGTGAGCGTCGACGTCGACGCGGTGATCGGCGGCACGACAGTCTTGTACGCGGCGTGCCTTAAAGGGAAGACGACAACCGTCGAGTTCCTCCTAAAGCATGGGTCCAGCGTTTCCAAAAGCCTGTGCCAACCGTACCAGTTTGCTCTTCATGCCGCGGCCGCTCACGACGATGAGAGCGTCGTTGACGCCATTCTGAGGCACGAACACGATTGCGGGTCTGATATTGAAAGGTTGCTCTCAGCGAAGACTGTTGCTGGGTACACCGTGTTCCATCAGGTCGTCCTAGAGGGTCGGACTAGGGTTCTTGAAAGACTACTGTACGAGATCAAGGGTGAAGTTTCGCCCCAGCCGCTGAGGGAAAGGACTAAAGGGAACAGGACGCCATATGAGCTTGCTGTATGGTTAAGGATGAGCCTTGGGAAGTCCAATGCGCCTTGTGTGCCAGCTGACGAGGCTACGCTTGATCATGCGACGGCGGAGCTAGAGGTATTTGAGCAAAAGCATTCATCATTGAAAAAAGTGAAGGGTGAGCACGCATGCTTTTCGAAATAAACAATTGATTTTTGGTTTGTCTTTCTATATCCAGAGGCGCTTAGGTGCCTCGGACAAGTGAAGATCATTATCAATGTAGCTACGTAAAGACTTAGTCTATACATAGTATTGCCCAATCTTGAGCTACTATTTCAGCCTTATGTGAGGCTGTATTTAATCAAAACTCGAGCATCGGTACGCGTATTAGACACCTATTCATCCCCTTGAATGATCGGTGTCTCACAATGCCGCTTTTGTTGCGACATCCGAATCAAAGGATAATCGTCGGGAGGCTGGAATTTTTAAATTCCGATAATTCCACTTCTACTAGCCAGGAAACTTGATGGGATGGCTCCTGGGTCTGGATGAGCGAAACAATGCAGGATTTGTTACTTCTTCTCCGTTTTGGAGGGCGAAAAAGTTTTGATGAGCGTCACTGTGACCCAGGCAACGGCCACAATGGTCACAGTGAGGCGGATTTCTTTGACAATTGAGACTGTTGAAGGAGGAAAGAGGAAGGAATGAGCATGCTCCAAAGTCCCGGAATGGGACACCGTGAATTGTTCCATCGCGCGCGGGATGTGCTGCTTGTTGATACTGGTGTGGGATTGATGTCTTGTTCATCATCAATCCTGGTAATGAGCCGACGGCGGAAATTAGATGTGGAACCACGCCACGAATGTTATCTAATCGCCATCCTTGAAACTAAACCCTTTCTACATTAGTCTCAAGGCAAAGAGCGAGGATGAGCAGCTTGATTGATCCTGGTCTGCAAGTCTTAGACGGCTACCCTATACTTGCTAGAAGCTAACTTCGACCAGTAAATGTTAATGGAAGAAAGGGATAAACTAACTAAGAAGTGAATTCCAGCGAAAGTCAGTTGTTTGATGTGTTTAGATATCTAGACTACTGGCATTTTGTCACAAAGGGACCAAGTAAAACATCCACCAGGTGAGTTTTCGCTCCAAAACGTCTCACCAAGCCTCCCAGCCAAGGTCTTCAGCAATGTCTGTAGCCTCACATGCCTCTCGCGCCCAACGACTATGAGTCCTGTTACTCATCCACGATGTAAGCGCTTCCTCATTATCTACCATGCTCCTGGCCTTCTTATACCTTAAACGAATAGGGTGGCCCATCGGATCCCATCTGGCCTTTTCGCCTTCCTCCCATTCGATGGGCATGGGGTCAAATTCGACGACGCAGACATTGTGGTCTTCATCGGAATCCCACCGGGGGATGTCTGCATCCAAATACATCAAGAGCCAGCTGCGGTAGTTCGTAAAATACCAGTCTTTAGCCTCTTTCACCCAAGGGAAGCCAGGAAGTCCTTGTTCACTTGTGACACCGAAATGGGGTTCATCATCATCGCCAGGAGGTCGCGCTTCAGCTGAATCATCAACTGCTTCTTCGCTTGCGGCGTCCTTCTCCTTCAAGGCTTGCGCCACTTTGCGGACCTGGTGCCAAATGGTACCTCGAGCAGCCAACTCGCCACGATAATGTGTAATGCATTCCTCAGCGGTAGCGCCGGGGAGAAAGAAGAACTCATATCTGAAACCGCCGTTGTCATAAGGATTACGGCTGTCCTCTAGACCTAGAGCGAATTTCTGGCCATCAAAGTCGCGTGGGGATTCTGGGTTAACCATGTAGAAGATCCAAGAAGGCAAATTAGGTGGATTAGGCTTCTTATCTGAGCCCCGCCACGACATCAAGGCCGGTTTGCCAGTATGATCGTTAAAATTGACGTTGTATTTTATGGCTTTGGCCCCCTGATACTTGGGATCGCTACCTCCAGTCCACTTCCTTGCAGACATGCTAACTAAGGTAGGTATTGGAAGCCGTCTTCGCGGGCTTGAGCGAGATCCAATTTTGTAGTTGGGACGACGGAGTGTAAAATGTTGAAACTCATACGGACAATTTGATCACGGTGAATAAGGTTAAAAACAATATGGAGCCGCCCTGGAGAAACCATTGTTTTTGTAGTTTCCTCCGTGCCTCCAGCCCCCTCTTTTCTGAGAGGGGTTTTTACATCACCCGGCACGTCCTCTGACTAGGTAAGGTCCGAATATCAGTCTATCGGAGGTTTCCTACTACGGTCACAAGCCAAAATAACACACATGTCGCATGACATTCATGTGACCGGATGTACCCATCCGGTTTCATACCTGGCCTGCTGCACAGGCGTCTTATATGTATGTAGCGCCTATTTTGGTGTTGAACCTTAGATACGGCCGGGCACAAGGCTCGTAGCGGGCACAAGGCTGAAGTTTATTGTGTTGTGATGCCTGGGTATGGTATCAAGTTATCAAATTACTGGTGTTTGGGAATTCCCCCTTTTTTTCAGCAGCTGTACAGCTCCCTCACTTACCATGTATGTAGCGCACTCCTTGAAGGTGCTTTACAGGTGTAGCTTCAAATGTGACTCAACGCAAGGGATGCTATAAGCGAAGAAGAAGGTAAGTGACTTGGTTTACTTATATTTAGGTAGTTTCGAGAGACTTGTAATGACTGTTGAATAGTCAACGAAATTTATAACTGACTAATCTTTGCGTGGTGTGAGTTGGCCCCAGCTTGAATTAAACTTGAAGTACGGACCACAGATGCACGTGATGTTTTGTTCCGTAGATTACAAAGGCTAGCCAGAAAATAAAACTAAATATAGAAAAAGGTTATAATGTTTGTGCCACAAAGATTGTTTCATTATGGACAAAGAGTACACTCGGAATTAATAGATTACAGCAGCTAACAGAAAACAACCAGATATTAATACGAATTTCCATCACAGATAATATCTTCTGGCAGATTTCCACTCACTCTTTCTTTCTAGCGCCAAGAATCTGTGAAATCCAGATATTTCTGAGCCCTGAGAGCTTGCTTGCTGACGCGTTGTCTTATACCGATCACCTTTATATGGGAGTAATGGTCGGAATTCGGGACTTAATGCCAACCCTCTGGCATTTCAAGATCTGGGAGCCTGAGATTGATCCTGACGATAGTTTTAGAGACGGTATATGCCACTGCCTCAAAAAGCTATCCAAGCTGGTTGAGTTAGACTCCTATGAGGTGAACGTTGAGAAGGGCCTGGCTGTCGCAAAGGTAGTAAACGCCGTCGTCAATGTTTCTCAAAAGTCACCTAAAATTGGCCTAATCGCTTATGCATTGACAGGTCCGCCTGCGAAAATCCAAGATTGCTATCCAGCAGAGTAAAACATTCGAAGATGGTATAAAACAACTGTGCGAAGCCATGGTTGCTGGCGATCCAAGAAGAGGGCACAAATAGAAGTACTCAGCAAACGATCATTTCTAGGCATTGAGCCTACGTCTAGCGTCTTCCAAACATACTGGACTGCGTCGTTCTTCAACGGAATCCTGTCACAAGGCCCTGAGCTCATTGAAGAGGCTCCTTTTCGCGGTTCTGGCCAAGGTAAACCGTACCTCGCTCCTACGTAAGTAGTTCGCTCTTCTCCTGATATCATTCAAACCTGACGGTGTTCACTGTAGTGCTCTTGCGTTTGCGGTTGCTGCTCTTGGAGGCATCTTCGACGCCTTCCGAATGTTCCAACAACTTTATAGCAAACCGCTCACGAGTGTTGAAGACGTGCAGCGCACTATAAAAGAGTCAACTCCCACCGTGGAATCCTGGTTGAACTGGCTTTTTGTGAGTTGATTGTTGTCGACAATTATGATAAAGGTAACCTTTTCTGACTGATAATCTTGTAGGAGTCAGAGGCAAGCGAAAGTAAAAGCCAAGAGGGAACACTGGACAAGCAGAAACTGGAAGAGAGGAGGTTAAGTTATAAGAAGGATCTGACCCGGTTCACTGATGCTTTTGATATCTTCCTCGAGAGCTACAAAAACATCCCAGGTACACATCTCTAGCATAAATCAAATGATCTGATCCTAGTTTGTCCTAAAGAAACATCTTACTGACCGAACATCTTCTATAGCACCTTTAACTAACGGTGGAGGAGCAGACCTCCGTTCCGGTGCCTGGACGTGCACCATCTGTAGTAATCTCTGCGACATGATGACCGTGGCGTCTAAGCTCCTCAGAAACAACAAGTGTCTCATTAAAGCTAGGAATCAAGAGTTAACACAAGCAGTCCAATCAGGGGTCTTCACCGCTGTGTCCGCTTCCATGGTGTGGTTAAATGCGGCTTCAGTGGCAGTTGTTGATGCTGCCCCCGCTTCTGCAACCGCTGTCTCCGCTACAGCGCCATCTATAGCCCTTTTTTTCTTGGTAGGGGGCACATCCATTTTATCCGCTTTGGTTTCCGTCAACTCTTTCAATAAGAGCCAGGAGCTCAACGTGGAGTGTGAGAGGCTCAACGACGGTAAGTCATGTTATTCTAATCTCTTTCTCGATCTTTCAATCTAAGTCTAACTTGTGTAACGGACAGTTTTTGAGGCGATAATTTCTTCTTCGACAAAAATCCTCAATGCCAATATCACTGTGCAGAAATTTCAACATGACAGGACCAAACCATCGTCCACCTCGGCAGAAAAAGACTCACAAGGTCGATGGGAGCAACCCATTGTCGAATTCGACCGTATGTCGCTAGAGCACAAGAATGAAGGATGTTCTGAGTTAGAGCTACTGATGATGTATATCAATGAACAGGGTATTGCGCTGCAGAAGCAACGCGAAAGACTCATCATCTGAGGCGGCGTAGCTTGACTTTCATTGGTCTCAATGTTTTTGTCCCTTCTTTCATGTTTACTTTTTCTTTTCTTTAATTGATAAGTGATGTAAAACTTAGCATACGAATAAAAAGTCAAGATCATTTGGAATATTGGTATCATCATAGTGAAGATCTTGTACCCTATTCCAAGATACATGTAGGCGATTGTTTCCCATACTACGTTGGGCCTATAGTTAACAGGAGCCTGCCTCCTCTTCCACTACTTATAGGAGAAAGTTATTAGCTGATGTAGCAAGCTTAGACTTGTCTTGGTGTGAGTTTGAGTATGAAGATAAAAATAGGTAATCATAATGAATGCCAGACCCAATTTCTTGGGATAATAAAATAAAAGGTCAAGAAAAAGGTTTTATAACCCTAAGGCTATGGTTATCTCCGAAAAATAGACTATAAGCCTTTATACTATAACTTGATTACTATCAGAAGTGGCTACTTTATATCTGTTTAGTATCTTAACTATGGAATAATAGATAATATCTCTAGACGCACTAGATGAGGTTGTTCTAGAGATTTTCCTGTAAATGACACAAAATACTTAGCTTCTAAGGTTGACTCTACGTAAGAAAGTTTAAGTACAAGTTAAAAAACAGTAATGAAAGGCACTAGACCCGACATCTCAACACAATGGATATCTGAGATTTCCTCCTCCTGCTGTATCCTAAATGGATAGCCAGCTGACGCAAACGCATTAGCAAGTCTGTCTGGGCTTGTGAGGACGGTTAAGACAGGGACTAATCGGAAGTCGAAGCCGAGGTTGAGTAGAATCTGATCAGACGGGAGAGGATGCCGATAGTCACATCTCTCATCGAAATTTCCTCATTAAGCTATTAGACTCCGAGAAAACACGTATCACGAGCTCAGTGCAATTAAGCGCATAGGTCACCGTGACGAAAGAAGACTGCAATTGATTTCAAATCATAAATTTCCAGACCCAGTCTTGACTACGTAGTGTCGGTTGTTTCTCCCTCATTCATTGCGTTGAGTTGTCAGGCCCTCGCAGCTTCATTGTTGTTAAACTTTCTTCTGATTCTCTTCTGTTCCGTGCGATCCCAGTCAATTTGCTTTATAAGTTTAAAAGTACTGGCCAAGCCCCAGGGGTCGTTTATCTTTGTTGGTTTTCATACATGTAGACTTCACTCTTCCGCCTTTCCCCAACTTCTCCAGTGTCTTATACCGGCTGTTCTTGTTCTCATCTTCTTGAGCTCATCAAGCGGCACGTTGCTTAAGTATTTTTGCCATGACCGCCACCAATCAAGGTGTCCTTGAGGGAACACCATATGTCCGGGGCAGCGCTTCGGCGATCCTTCTTGCCGCAAACCTCGAACTTAGTTTTTGGGGAGGGGTGAATCCCAAAACAGGCGAGGTTATCGACCGTTTTCATCCTCTGAGCGGCCGCTTGCTGAGGGACACTATCGTCGCCATTCCGAGCGGGAGGGGGTCATGTGGCGGTAGCATCATCATGATGGAGCTAATCCTCAACGGACTGGGGCCCAAGGCCTTTATCTTCGAACGTCGCGAAGAAATCATCACGCTGGGGATTTTCGTCGCCGATGAGTTCTTCAAGGCAACAGCCCCAGTTGTTACGGTTGGCAGGGACAATTTTCAGAAGATCCTAGGGTGGAATGGACAGACAGTTCACATCCTCAACAATTTGGTGTCTCTAAACCCACTACATGTCGACCCTACTAAAGACTTGACGCATCCCGAAGATAACCTGGATAATCTTGGCATCGAGCTCTCAGACTTTGACCGCGCAACATTGGCTGGTGTGTATGGTGAAGCGGCAAAGGTATCGATGAAAGTTATTATTCGCCAGGCCCACATGATGGGAGCCCGGTGTTTGATGGACGTTTCCCAGGCACATGTTGATGGTGCATGGTATGGTCCTGCCTCAGTTGCTTTTGGGAAGAAGTTGCGGGACTGGGGCGGTAAGTTCCAAGTACCGACAACCATTAACTCCCTCAACGTCGACCAAAAGCGCTGGCGAGCGTTGGGAATCGAGACCGATTTTGGCGCGGCATGTGACGAATTGACGGAGGCTTTCACCGATATGGGCGGAAAGATATCGTTCACATGCGCTCCCTACCTACTGGACAGTGCCCCTCAAAAGGGCGATCCTATTGCCTGGGGAGAGTCGAACGCCGTCATCTACGCCAACAGCGTTCTTGGTGCTAGAACTTTGAAGAACCCCAATATGCTAGAGTGTTTGATCGCTCTTACGGGTCGAGCACCAATGGCGGGTGTTTACTTGGACGAAAATCGGCTTGCTGAAGTTTGGATCAAAGTGACACAGCCGCCGTTTATCGACGACTCTTACTGGCCTATTCTTGGCTATAGCCTCGGGGCTGTGGCAAGTAATCGGATACCAGTCATAACAGGCTTAGAAAATCTAAGGCCTTCGGTGGATGATTTCAAAGCATTCTCGGCGGCTTTCGCCACTGCATCCAGCGCTGCCATGTTTCATATGGTTGGACTAACCCCTGAAGCTCCAACACTCGAGTCCACCTGTTCGAACAGCCAGGCTCTGGAAAGCATAGATTCCACTTTCGCCGACCTGAAGGCTTGCTGGGAGGAGTTCAACTCTGGGTCCGTCGCTCGAAAAGTCGATCTTATTTCTTTCGGAAACCCGCATTTCTCCTTCAAGGAGATCAAGAAAGTTGCGGAATTGTGTGAAGGGAGAACTAAGCATCGAGATGTCAAAATCATGGTTACTTGTGGTCGCGCTCAATATAGCCTCGCAGCCCAGGCTGGTTATGTTGCGCAGCTGGAAGCATTTGGCACCCAGTTTCTGACCGATACGTGTTGGTGTTCAATCGAGGAACCGGTTATCCCGAAGCAGGCGGAGGTCATTATGACTAATTCAGGCAAATATATTCATTATGGCCCCGGACTAACGGGTAGACAGTTCTGTTTTGGTAGTTTAGACATGTGTATTCATGCTGCGTGTTCGGGATGGACAACTGGTGAACCACCACTTTGGCTGCGGCTGTTACAGATAGTGGTATAGAAACCCTAGGTTGAGTAGCATTGCTATAGTATTGCCAATGTTATGTTTTCTATTGTGCTATTTATACAAGCTGGGGTAGCTATTTTAAATTCTTTTCTTAACCTAGCCAGATACTAAGCTATATAGTTCACTTATTATATTGTATTATATCCTCTCGATAACTACATAGCCACGCCCTCGGACTGGAAGCAAATGTAAGCACCGGTATATTTGAGGTTGATGATGACATGAATTCTTCTTTAAACGTAGTATTTGCTTTGCCACGGACCTGTCAATTAGAGTGGAACAACATGTTGTGGGTCAGAATAAGACTTGTCTGACAACCGTTGGGCCCAGATTTTATAATTTAGGTGTTCAGCTCCGATCAGCCGGATCGTCATCGCGTTCACAGACGTGTTAGCTGGATAGAGTGGTGATCTGTTCATCAAGTGCGTTTGAAGTTTCGCTGCCGAGGCGACGGGTCCGTAGATGATCAATGCGCGCGCGTTCGGCATTCTACCGGCACAACACGACACATCCGGATCGGGAACTCACCGACGAGCCAGGCCAGGATCAGAAGGTAGCATCTCTTGTGGCACTTACGCACGGCCAGACGGGAGTCAAGGCTTCTTAAGGACAAGCATAAGCTTAGCATACGTGGCTTTCTTATACGGGTTAGCATAGGGATTCAGACAGAGGACGATCGAGCCTATCAAGAGATAACGTTGCCTCCCCCCTTGCCCCTTGGCATGAAGGAAGCGACGATCATTTATTAGAAAGTAGCTCATCCAACGACATGCTATGCCTTATTACGTTTTAGAAATAGGTGAATGACATGCTCGCCATCTCTTGAAAGGCGTTGATGACTACGGCTATCAGAAAATACGAGTGCCCATCCATACGAAGCTTTATCTGGATATTTCATAGCCCGCTGTGTCCACTGTGTCTATCGTATGTTGGAGCATGATGCTACTTACAGGACTTGGTGCGCTATTTCAAGCCATCCGTCCACTTGGCATGTAAATGGCCAAGTACTCGTACCGTCGTTGGGTTGCATATTCGGCAATCTTGGTTGATGGCCTGGCGGTGAAGTCAATAGATCCCAAGGTGTGTTACATGCTGGGGTGAGTATGTGGCAATCCATGGAGCGGATCGCAGGCTTGAGAATAAACTAGCCAAGACGGTTGACCCTATAATGCATTGGTAACCTTGTATGGAGCTTTAATGCGGGAAAAGGAAGTCCGGTTACTGTAGAACAAAATAGAGACGAGGGAAAAAAAAGCCAGGATCCTCCAATCTAGGATGCTTGTTAGTCTCCTTTTTTTGCTTGCGGTGGCAACAGAGTACATCTGATCGAGTATTTCACGGTTGCGTATGGACGTGGCTGTACAATGTGATTGTTCTTTTCATCATCGATCATAATTCAATTCGCATGATATCTCGTATACTATGAACACCAATCCCTCGTGCGCACAGTTGCAGCAATATCACTTCCTCTGTCAGTTTCAGACCAATTTACCACTTGTTGCTGTTGATCCAGGTGACGTAGTTGCCAACGCGGGTGTAAACACCTGGGTAGGCGGCCGCAGCACATCCAACACCCCAGGAGACGAGACCCTGGAGGACGGCAGCAGAGTTGACAATGGGGCCACCACTGTCACCCTGGCAAGAGTCCTTGCCACCGGCATCCTCAGCAGCGCAGAACATGTTGCTAGTGACATCGTAGCCGAGGCCAGAGTAGTCAGAGGCGCACTCGCTTCGCTGGATGACGGGGACAGAAACCTTTCGCAGGTTGGTGGGCAGGCTGGAACCGCCGGAGCTGGTAGTTCCCCTGTAACATTTTGTTAGTGTCTTGGCTCATTCATTTTCAACGATGTAAAGCGGCACTTACCAGCCAGCAACGGTAAGGATAGTTCCGTCGGCGGGGTCAGAGCCCTGAGTTGGGAGAGTAGCGTATTTGATATTAGTACCCTCAGAGATGGCGGTAGACAGCCTCCAGAGAGAGATATCGTTGTCCCTGTATAAAATTAGCTGAGAAGTCTTTAGAAAGACACAGATGGACGTACAAAGTGTCGTAGTCAAATCCAGAATGGATGAGGATGGACGAAACGCTGACCTGGGTTCCTCCGGAGGAGCGGCTCTGTTGTGTGGTTAGCATATGGTATGAAAGCTAGCTTATTCAAAAGCAGAAAGTTACTTACGTTGCTTCCAGCGCGAACCCTCACGGAAGAGGCACTGGTGCCGTAGGAGCAGTGGCCAGCAGTAGCAACGGTGTTTGCGTTGATCAAGACACCACCGCAGAAGTGCGAGCCGCCCTCAGACAGACTGACAATGTAGGGGAACTCGCCAGTAGAGGCCTCAGTGCCACCGACAATCATAGTGGTAACATCATCGCGGACCTGGCCGGGGAGAGTTCTGTCGACGGGGACAGCAGCGGCAAGGGGCAGCAGAAGAGCTGCAGCGAAAGCGAGAGTTGGTGCCATTGTGGAATAGAAACCGGAGGGGTTGATTGATCTGTGTGCAAGAGGAAGCTGGATGCTGAGAATGAGTCTTCAAGTCATTTTAGCAGACTATCATGCTCGTTTATATAGTCACGATGCTGTCTATACAGCGGCATCGTGATGCCGGACCTTCCTACTTGGTGGTTTTACAATAGTTCCATAACACTGAGTGTGACTGGGACGATGCATAGCGACAGCTTCATCCGACCGGGGGTAATACCAAGAACTCGAGTGGTCCCTGCCAAGGTGGCTCTGCACCCTTGGCGAAAGCTTGAGTAAGTCTGGGCAGTGATTGGCAAACAGGGACCCAGATCAATATTATCGAATATTGCTGATCTGCATGTTAGTGCCGGTAGTAGCAGCTATAAAGCAAGCTTAAAAAGAAGAAATAAGCTGGCATAGCACTAGAGTCACTGCCGCCAAAAATGCTCCATAGTCCACCCACAAGCCTGACTATTAACCATTCTGCCTACTGCCCACTCCTGTTCCTTGGGACTTCGGATCTGGCTCACTCGAGTTACTAGCAGGCGTGCCTACGTCGTCTTCGCTTCATAGGCCCTTCTTGCGGGGCAGAGGGCTCCATGAATCGGAAACGGCAGTTGGAAAGCCAAGGTAGTATTTTGCTTATCTGTGCAGCCACCTACCACATCCAATTTCGCTCAAAGATTAACAAGGCACCTCTATAGCCCATTGTGAGGGGACGCTGTGGTATCATTGGCCCGTAGCCACTTAATTACTTTCATACGTTTCTTCCTAAACCGGTCACGCAGCGTGACCTTCGGTGCGACGGTAGACACACACCCTGCATTCGTGATGGCGAACATCTTCCCCCTTTCATATAATACGGGACTTTAGAGAAAAGATCCAGCTACTTCTGGCATGTAGAGGGGTAAGGCGTCTGCCGATCCCTCGGCGTCGTATGATACGGGCTTATTGCTGGCGGGACTCGCCGACGGACACCTCGGTGTTCCGCCATAGCTAAACGAGCTGAATGCACGTAAGCCTACTCTTTGGTCCAAACCTGCTCTTGGTTGAGGCAACATTGAGTGCGATGCAACGGTAATGGGCTGCCTCCGAGGAATCAAATGGGCGAAATGATGAAGTTCTCAACTGTTATTAGACCTCGAAGAGGCAGTTGAAAAGATTCCATAAGTGTTATCTTTCGGGCCAAAATGACGCAATTGAGAATTAAACGAACTTCCCATGAGAACCTCTATGAGCCTCTATGGTTCTAGGCTGCGCCGCATATCGTGTTCAGCAACTCCCGATACTTAGTCGGTTGGGCGCAAGGGCTAGTTGAAGTGAGGCGCGAGACGATGAGAGACGGAACCGAACTTGTGATTTTACACCCGCCACTCATTGAGTTTCGTATCCATACATGGAAGCATCTAATCCTAACATCGTGTTTCGCCCCAAGCTACTTGCGTTTAATTCTGAGTACATCGCTTCTGAGCTCTGGCGAGGTAGGAAGATTCGTCGTTCAGTTAACATTTTTCTTATGTAAAAGAATACTTATGACCATTCGGTCACGTACCTTATGCAGTAGCGAGGTTACTCGTTATTTAAAAACTTCTGTAGGGCTCCCCAGAGCAAATCGTGGCTATACTCTTCCAGAAGTCTCGGGATAAACGGTCGGCGCTGAGACCTACCTGTGGTGCCGAACGTAGTGTCTGGATCAGTCGTATACCCAAAGACCCCAGGGTCTCCTAATGCATCGTCTGACCACGCAGGCCATCCTGGCTGGCCTTTGTAAACAAAACGGACGATAGCCAAAGCAAAGTCTCTTGCTACGCCGACATCTGATGGTGAAAGGTAATCGTTGTAATTTTGGAAGGCATATGCTACGTCGAGAACATGACTGGCTTTGCCTTGAAGTGGCCCAGAGAAAGGGTTAGGAGCGTTGAAATGGTAAAGATATCGCCCGTGGGTGTTCGGCCAACCTCTGACTGCAATTTCGAGAGGAGCGTAGAAGCCAACGTCTGTGAGTAAGGCCACAATTCGATGGAAAGCTGCATCATCTGATACTGCCTCGTTAATTTGGTAATCCGAGAGGATTGATGTGACAAGTTGAGGCGTCTTGCTTAATGAACGAGTCAAAGATGTAGCGAGACGAGACCCGATGCCTTTTTTGTGCGAGTCTAATGCGCCACTCATGATGTAGCCCTAGTATTATCACGTCAGTCACACAACCCTCAAAAAGAACAAAAACCTTCATTGAAGAAAAGAACAATGAAGGAAACAAAATCCGTCAGAGTGCGCTTACGTCCGCTTGACAGTCACCTATCAACAAGTCTTGGCACCAGGCCTTGCCGGGAATGCTGTCTGTATCGGTGAGATTTTCAACCTCCCGCGACGTGAGAGCTCTTTGGAAAAGAGTACCATCTATCACAGGTCGGTTGGGAATACTTATAGGCACCTTGTCGATGATCTCCTTGTGCGGAATTGTACGTAGCTTCTTAACCCTCTGCTCAGGCGGCAAATCTTTTAGACCTAGACAGTCGACCACTTTGACGTACGCCTCATTGGCTGTTTCAAGAGGTATCGGTGTCATGAGAAGCGCGTGCCCTCCCATACTTATGAGACGACGGAACAGAGGTTCATTGCTCTGTAATAATAAGGTCGCAGATACTCCACCACAGCTCTCGCCCATAGCAGTCACATTTTCGGGATCGCCGCCAAACCCAGCAATGAATTTCTTAATCCAGACGAAGCCATTGATCTGGTCTTTTAGGCCGTAATTTCCATGGTATCCAGCTTCTCGTAACTCGGAAGAAGCTAGAAAGCCGAAGCAATTTGTTCGGTAACTAAGTCAATATCACTAGTTAGAATAATCCTGTCATGTATTAGGAGATATTCAAGCTTGTGACTCCTTACTTCAAAGAAACTCCGATAAACGGCATTTCACTCTCAATACCAAGGGTTACCAGTCTTCGCATGTCGGTTTGAGGCCAGAAGTTGGCTCCAAATAAGAACCCACCCCCGTGGATCCATACAAGAACAGGCAACTTCTTCCCTGTAGGAATGTCTCTAGGGACGGTAATGTTTAAGTTCAAGCATTCTGTTTCGCTTTCGACCGGCTTGTCGCCCGAAAGAGGCAAGGCCTTTTGGATTAAATACTCTTGTTCGATCTGCAAACCATTCGCATCCTGTGGGCAAGCTGGGCTATTGGATGTCGGCTTAGTTTCATCGCGGGCTCATGACTTTTGTACTTACCCAAACCTTGATGCGTCCCCTTGAGTCTGCTCGAATAGCAAAGATTCTTCGAATCTTCCTTTTACCGAAGCGTACTTGATGCCGAGAAACTGCGTTACATGGGATCCAGCTTGAATGCCAGTGACTTTGCCAAGCAGCCCGTGCTCGATAATGACAGTGTTAAAACTCATTTTTGCAAGTACAAACAAATGAAGATCCCGATGAAGCCGTTGACTGCCATTCATAACGTCGACGTAGAGTACAACCTCATTCATAAGAAATGCGAGAGCCGTAAGTACTTACCAACCTGCACGGTATAGTGTGTATATTGCCATATTCGACTGCTCAACTGTGCTCCACCTTGGCGCCCACATTCCCTAGACCGGTTATGTGGGCAACAGCGGAGTTGTTATACAATATTGCCTACCCTACCGGTAGATGATATGGGTAAATACAAGTCAAACCGGAGTTTTATCCACTATATATTCAGAATAGGATCAGTAGGGGTAGGGGTTTTTAAGGTCCCCCAATATAGCAATAATACCTATCTTTCACTTCAGTATCAGTTAATAGATCTTGTGAAGAAGCGCGAGTATCAAGTTTCTGCAAGGAGTCGGACGTTGGTATATCCTGCCTGTTTTTGTGAAGGTTTTACACGATTCACATATCGATTCAACAGTGTTCAACATAACTATTCGGACTTTACAATCATGGCATTTTAAGTTACCTCACGTTATTTTGTTCCCTCCAGCCACTGCCCAGGCGGACTGTCAGATATACTAGAGCCGTGACAGCGAGGAAAATAGCTGATGAAATTGTCGAACTCCAGCCTACACCGACGAGTTCTAACATTGGAAGACAAATGGCGCTGGAAACTGCCGAAAGCAGGTATCTTAGTAAATAATGACTTGCTGCTAGTTATTAGCACCTCAGTATCCACGTGACTCACGATAGAGGCTTACCAGATGCTTCGCCAATGTGATCTTGCAGAATGTCGAGTATGTAACCGTTAAGGCTAGGAAAGGCGGATGTTTGGCCTACGCCTTGGAAGAACATGCAGATGACCGGGACGGGAATTCCGCCAAGCTTCCTGTCTACCATCCAGCCATACAAGGCCATGGAAAGGGGGAGAACGATGCCAAGGAACGGCAGGCAGCCTCGCAGACGATCTTCAGGAAGTCTGTAGCCGCGCTTTTCCGTCCACACTCGTACCGTGTAGTCGGCCCAGTGCCCACCAATGAAACCACCGACGAGGTAACCTGCGCCAGGAGAAATGTAAAGAAGCCCTGATTGGAGCGGGGTCGTGAGATTCAACCGGGGGTTCAGGATCAATCGTAAGGGCGTAAGAAGGGAAAACATATTCCATCCAACAGCGGATGATGCAAGAACCTGATAGTTGGTGAGCCGCCATTGTAACATTCATCGCCACTCCCCACTGCTTACCACCATCAGAAAATTCTTGTTCCCGTACAACCTGACCATACCACAAGGGTTGAGCCATCTAAGCAACTTCACTGCAGCTTCGCGCCTTTTATGGCCACTTATCTCCGTGGCACGGATGTAGTGAATTGTTTCGGGAAAGTAAAAGAGGGCAAGTATGCACGCTACACCGGCCAAAGCTGCCTGCATGTAAAATATGACTCTCCATGTCTGGTAGGTGATGATGGCACCACCTAGGAGAGGACCGAAGGCCGGGCCGATCATGGACCCAGAAAGCAGCCATCCCATTGATGCTCCGCGTTCGGTCTATATGAATATTAGTCATGGTCTGAGATGTCTAGGATGGCTGTTGACGAACTGGGTGGTAGATGTCGGAAATGCAGCTTGATCCCAAGATGAGGAATGATGTGCTTGGGATAGCTGAAAGCCCGCGAAAGACGAAGAATGCGGCAAGGGTCGGCGAGAATGCAGTGCCGATAGAGGCAGCACAGAACATGAAAAGAGAGAACCGATAGACCTGAGTGCCTTTGTCAGTAGAACGGAACTGATCTAATAAAAGTGCACTTACGGCTCGGCGTCCAAACACATCGGCAGACGGACCCCAAATCAATGCCGCGGCACCCATGACTGCCAAATAGACAGCATTGCTGATTCCAATGACAGAAGCAGTGGTGTTGAAAGTATGCATCAACTCAGGAATGGCAGGGAAAATGCAGGTGGTCGACATGGAAGTCATGAAGCTACAGAGAGCCAGAAAGGCCGTGATGGACCGTTTCTGCAGATTACTGAACCGGGAGTAGACAGTCGCCTGCACTTGTCTGGCTTCAGTGTCTCCATTATTGCTGGGAGGTCTAAGTTCTCGGGTGCTGCCGTTTTCATACGATGGTAAGTCCTCTAGAGGCACGGCCAGGGCTGTGTTCAAAGTGGTGGTTGTCGATGCCATGGAGAAACTTGGTAAGCGGTGGTTTGGATGATGGCCAATTCAACAGTGTTTGCTAGCTGCCGGATCGGAGATTTAAATAGAGCTTTAGCCGAGCATGACGAATCGAACCCGACGAGAGTCGGCGGCCTAAAGCCGAAACCGGAGCACCTACCGAGCATATTCTAACAGATTGAGGGAATCGCAAATTCAGTATATCTCGTGCGTTCCTGTTACATGTAATATAGGCCCTCTAATCAGGAAGTTTTAAAGCTTAGAGAAGCTATATATTTCGATAAATGAGCAGAAACTTCCCTTATAACTCTTTGTGGATGCCGCCAATGGTGCTGGACTTTATACCCAGGTACTTACCAATTTCATTCTTGCTACCCTCTCGATTACTGGTCTAGATAGCTTCAGCAACCCTATACACTCTGGCGATGTCTCTACTGAGGATACAACCAGCTAACGCGACTTCGGCTGCGTTGCTCCCACCCCAACCTAAGACAGGGCGGAAGTTCGCCGAACCCCGCAATGATAACCTTCGATATAACCAAGCGAGCTATTCGAAGAGGTATACGTCAGATTGCTCAAATGTGCTCCACCTTGGTCCCATATTCCCTGGAGCGGTCAGTCGTGTGGGCAACAGCGGGATTGTCAGGAGAGAATACAATACTACATACCCTAGATAGGTAGGTGTATACGGGTCAAGCCTGAGTTTGGTCCGCCACATCAGCAAATTGGGCAGTATATAAGGAGTAATCTAACTCAATAGTATCAGGAGAGTAGAGTAACTGTCACGCAGTAGCGCCAAAACATTATAACAAGGGTCCAGTCACTTAACCCCTCATAATAAGTCTACCCTATACTGGGGAAATCGGGGTACTAGCAGATAACGAGTATCTCCGAAGCTCGTAGTTAGAGGCTGGTAAGGATTTACCTGGATCTATGGATACCTTATATATGTATTATATATGGTGAATTAGGCGAGCTGTATTTGTATATATGCGGTAGAGTTTGATAAGCTCACTAATAAAGGTCAAATAATAATCTTGAATATCTAAAGTTCCTATCCTGTGGTTTCTACACTTTTACTTAGGAAGTCTTAGCATGGCCATTCTCTGTGGACATAACAGCAATAAATATTATTGGAGATGTAGATGCAAATGTACATATAGTAAAAACCCAGCTCCATCCATGCATGTCACGTAAACTTGACAACAACCCTCCAAAGGCAGAAGATATAGTTCCAACGCTATCCAGCCAACTCAGAGTTTGTTTTCCACTATATCTGAATTGGACGTGGTACCTACCCACACTGAGCAGGAGAAGTCCCAATACAGGCTTGCTGTTTCGCACCACATGTCCAGAATAGGATCGGTGGGGGCGGGGTTTTCGCAAGCCCCCTTACCACAAAGATGCTAATATCTCACTTAGTATCAGTTGGTAGATCTCGTGGGGAAGCGAGTGCCAATTTAGTTAGTTGGGGCTTGATAGAAAAAAGGCTTGATAGATGAATGGTTAGCACATTTATGAACCAGATTCGGCATGTAAAGCAAAAGTGGCAAAGTTGGATTGAGATTAGTCCTTTTAAAGACCTAAATTCACATATCTATTGCAGCCAGTGATCACGAACTGCCTCGCCTCTTCGAACAATACGGAATAGTTGTAGTGTTAATCTTCGAAGTCCAATTCTAATCATGGTTGTCAACTCTAGCAAAGGCCTGAAAAAGGTATATACACTATCTTGAATGAACACAGCGGCATGTTGGAAAGGTACTGACAACCATTGCAGGTCATTGTGGTTGGGACAGGTCCGACTGGGTTGGTGTTGAGCCTCTTACTAGCCAAACACGGCATCCAGGTTGAATGTCTTGACAAGAACATAGAGTTGGATGACCAGCCTCGGGCGACGCATTATGGGCCTCCTGCCAACCGTGTACTTGCCAAGGTCGGACTACTCGACAGGATCCGCGAATATGGAATTGAGGTTGGAGGCGCCCGTTGGAGGAAACCTGATGGAACTGTCCTGGCGAAAATTCTGAACAGTAATCTTGGCGATAACCCGGATCGCATATCATGTCTTCCTCTGAACAAACTATGCAGACTGGCTCTTGACGACTTGGAGAAGGAATCCTTGGCCACCATTAGATGGAATCACGAAGTTGTTGAGATTCGTCACGATGAAGACCAAGCAAAGCTGATCGTGAGCACCCCGGATGGCGCCAAAGAAATGACAGCCGATTATGTAGTGGGCTGTGATGGCGCAAACAGCGTCATTCGCAAGCAGCTGTTTGGTCCAGATTTCCCTGGCTACACCTGGGATTTGACCATCATTGCCACAAACGTAAGTACAAGAGCCCATAGGGGCACTTCCAGCAGGCGAAACGCGCAAGCATTGACTCATGACAGGTGTATTATGATTTTGAAAGTTGTGGCTGGAGCGATTCGAACTTCGTCATTCACCCCGAAAACTACTTCATGGCTGCCCATATACAAAAGGATGGGTTGTGGCGAGTCAGTTATGGAGAAGTCCCTGGATTAACACTGGAGGAGTACAAGAAGAGGCAGCCTGCCAAGTACGAGGCAATTCTGCCCGGTAACCCCAAGCCTGGTCAGTATAAGATCACCAGTTTCAGTCCCTACAAAGTGCACCAGAGGCTTGCGCAAAAGATGAGAGTCGGAAGATTTCTGTTGGCGGGTGACTCTGCTCACCTGTGCAACCCATTGTGAGTTCATCCAAAGAAATACATAAGATGCTTCAACGATTAACGATCTTTGTTTCTACAAGTGGCGGCATGGGCCTCACAGGTGGACTAGTTGATGTCGGCGATCTTTTCGACTGCCTAAAAGGTATCCATGATGGTCGGGCGACAGCTGACATCCTCGACAAGTATGATCATTATCGAAGGGAGAAATATAGGCAATTTATAAACCCAGTCTCGGAATCTAATCTCAAGAGAATGAGACTGAATGCAGATGAAGCCGAGGCCAATGACCCTGGGCTCAAGATGATGCGTGAAGCAGACAAGTCTCTGGAATCTTCGAAGACTTTTCAACTTGTAAGTTAATCCCAAACATTACTTTTCATACAAAATCTAACAAGCAATCTATTAGGGGGTCCTAGGTTTGGCTCATGATATGACTCAATACTACAATGATAATAGGCAAGTTGTGTGAGACGGGAAGCTTCCGGCCTTTACAATTTACAAAGTACCATAGTCCGTAGTAACTAGGGATTTCATGTATTCATTAGCAGTCAATCGATATTCTCATGACCCGAACATAACACATGTAGCGGACTAGTAAGAAATGAGTCAATCTCATCACGAATATCTTGCTTCTCTATATTTCCAAGCGTGAATTTGGTCTTTAATAGGCAATAGTAGAGGCTGGCCACGATCCGGCCCTAAATAATCCTCCCTGGATTGGCCTTTGCGTCCTCAATAAGCTCCTTAACGCTTCTAAACTGTATTCCCTCAAAGTAAATATGTCTATGCTTGTCCACTCGCTCCTGCGGATTGCATAGAGCCTCGCTATGACCCATCACATCAAACACTGCTTCAACGGTAGCCATGCCGTCCGTCGAGTCTACCAACTGTTTAATACTTTCTGTTAAAGACTTAGGAGCCAATCGATACTCGGGATCGTATTCCTTGATGATTCGCCATAGGCCAAGCCACGTTATTTGCTCGCCAGAAATGTATGTGAAGGGTTCCCACTCAGCGTCTGTCTCTAGCAAACGAACCACGGCCGAGGCGGCATCACGTGCGGCCGTACAACTGATGGTTTGCGTTCCGTTCCCGTAGAGCTTAAATGTTTTATCGTTCACGTTCTGCACCCAGAATTTCTCATTGGGCAAGTAGCGTTGGGAAGCTGGAATGACATAGTCGATCAACCAGCCGACACTGAGTAGTGTCCATTCGACCGACATTTGCCCCACAAGCATGTCGTAGATTCTTTGGATCCTATCAGCGCCGTAGTATGGTTGATCGCGAATATCTTCGAAGTTACCGACCCAAACGGAGGGAATAAAACGTTTGCAAGTCGGAGTTGATTTGCACGCTTTGAGGAGTGACTCATGGACACCAACAAGCTCTGGCGATGATGAGCTTATTGTGCAGATGACGGCATCACAGCCTTGGATTAGAGGTGCAATCATATCGGCTGTATAGTGGACCTGGTGCTGCTCGACGTTAAGATCGTCTAACCATGGCTTGCGAGAGCGGCTGATAGCAACGATATCATGTTTCCCTGAGAGAAGTTCATCAATAAGATACCTCGCAACAGCTCCTATACCAACAATTGCGACTTTCATGGTGTTCTATTTGTGCTTGCGGGGTAAATGTAGCCGTTGTGATAAGCTCTGCCTGAAGAAGAGTGGATGAGATACTGTTAGAGAAAGGAGGTCCTTGCTTCTTGGGAGCAAGCATCTACGGGAAAAGAATTTCCTTTTATGTATTGAACACAACCGCCCCATTTATTGCTAAGTTTCCTCTAGAGGAACGTCCCTTTCTCTGCTTTCGGCAAAGAGATGGAGGAAGAATAGTCAAGGGGGGCGGGATGCGCGGGGTGCGGACCCAGAAGTGAAGATGTTAGGACAAGTCTATCTAAGCAGGGAGAATACATGGAGCTTCGAACCTATTACTAAGAACTCCGCGAATAAAGCATCCAATAAGTTATTGTTAGCAGTATATTATTCATTGGAGCCCGCGGGACGCGTGTTTAGCACTATTGTCTAGAATTCTGTATCGGAATTTCAAATCCGAAGCATTTACTTTACAGAAAACGGGCAACTGGTCTATGGGCCTCCCACCGGAATTGATAAGCAAATCTATAAGTTAAGCGGAGTTTGATGCGGAGCTGAGAAAAATTGGGCATTTGTAATGTCCGCTGGTATAACTCCAAATGCGCAGCTGTATTTAGAGAAGGACTTATATGGCTGCCAGGAAGGTACAGTTGAACTCTCGAAGAACAGTTTCTCATTTTATTATCACTCACCCCCGGAACTCCATCTAGCCTTCCAGCAAGTTTCAAAGTCATTTATCATGTCTAAGACAGACATCACCATCGTGGGGGTTGGTAACATCGGCGCGGCCATAGTCAAGAAATGGCTTGAGAAGGGTTTCACCGTCACCATGTGGAACAGGAACCCTGATCGCCCATGGCTAAAGGACCTCAGCAATATTGGCGCTATCTTTGAGCACGACCTCAACGCGGCCATTGCAAACAGCGATGTCATCTTTCTTAGCGTCGCGGCTTATAGCAACATCACCGAATTCTTCTCACCTATTCTACCCCTCAAGAAAGGCCAGCCCCCAAAGACTATCATCAATATTACCACAGGTACCCCTCAGCAGGCCCGTGAGATGGCGGCTTGGCTGAAAGCCCTTGGCGTTACGGAGTATTTGGATGGTGCTATAATGGTGACACCTGAGCTTGTCGGCACGGAGCACTCATCTATCTGGCTCAGCGGCGAGACAGAAGCAGCGTTTTCCAAGATTTTTAGCATCATGTCACCTCTTGGCTGGCCGCATTATGTCGCTGAAGACCCAGGAGCAGCATCCTTGTGGGACATTGCCGCACTTGCAGCTATGGACGGTATGCTTACCGGTGGTATATTGGCCATGAATCTTCTGAGGCGGCAGAGAGGAACCCAAGATGGAAAAACACCATCAGTTGAGAATCCAATTCGAAAGATTGTAATCCCTCTGCTTTCATCATTTCTCCCCTTCCTCGGAGACATCGCTGCAGCACTGGACGATGAAGACTGGGGTAGGAACTTTGGCAACCCCGTGGCGATGCAACTGAAGGGCTTTGAAACTATCCTTGAGGGCCTGCGACAAGAAAAGGTTAGCACCGAGAGCCTTCAGTTGTTCCATAATCTTTTGCTCCGCACAAAGAGGGAGATGGGCGGCGATGCTGGGTTAGCAGCTATGGGCATGTATATGCTCGAGGAATGATTAGTCTGCCTTGAACGGTGGTGTATGGAGTACCTCTGACAGTCTGAGGGCGTTAAGGACGGCCAAAGTAAGCTATAAGCCTTGAATATACGCTTACTGCTGTGCTCACAGATCTGATCAGTGAATGCATCAAATCAGTGAACAGATATAAAATCTCAAAGGTTGAGTATAATTTGTAAAGCTTTGTCGGTATACTGTAACACCTAATAATTCATAATACTGGTGCACTCAAAGCTCTAGTGTCTTCTCTTACTATTGAAATTTATACTCTTTCTCTTACATACTGGTCGTGAATTGAACATCAATGAATCTCCCAGCTTTATTGGTCTTCCCTGTCTCTTCCCTCTCATGCATTCTCCCTCTCAGACTTTGCATGATTAAGTCCAGGGCGGACTTCAGTAGCACCTCGCCAAAAGGATCCGTCTTCAGCTAGCGTTAGTCCCCCATTAGAGATATATGGTACTGTGCTCTTGGAATTATTATTCGGCTAACCTACTTCTACAGATCAAGCACCCTGGAACGCAATTCAATATGTTGAGATACTGTAAATACGGGGGTGATCCGCAACAGCACCCGCCGAGACACATGATGAGTGCCATTCATCCCACATTGCCTGTTCGGGACACGTATATTGTTGCAAGGTCCAAATAAGTCAACCCCACATCATACCGGACAGACCAGTGAACTACTCTGTAGTTTCATAGCTCTGATGGAAGATTTGCCGGATTAAGCACGGCGGAAGTAATCCTATTCCTGGAGAGCCAGGTATTCACAACCCCAAGACGCGTAGACATAAAACCCTGCCATGTGATGCCACCTAAACGAAGGTTGCAGAACAACAGCGATCACTTACACGGGCAATTATTGAATTCTAATCAAAATTCATTGGACCACTAGCCGTGAGTTTATCTTCGGGCATTTCATCCACCATGTCTTCCCCAACTGAGCCCCAAACAAGCGACAACGCTTGGTGGAGCCATGGAGAGGAGACTCATACCCTTCCTCTTTCACAAGCTGTACCAATGGACACGAGCGTCAACACCTGGTCTCGGTTTGGCCAAGTATACGAGGCCTACGAATATAGTGGCTGGATTGACGAAAGTCTTTCGTGGAAGACGGACTGTTATATTGGCGACTGGTCTTCTCTCGCCAAAGCTAGAGTAACTGGGCCAGAGGCGAAAGATTTCTTTGAATTCATCTCTACCAACCGATGGCCGGATTTCAAGCCTGGTCAAGCCAAGCATGCCATCTTCTGCCAGGATAATGGGAATATTGTCGGCGATGGACTCGTCCTGATGCTTGCCGAGAACGATTTTCTCTTCACGAGCGGGCCTGGCACTGTTTGGGCCACCTACCAGCTGAAGTTTGGAAGGAAGAAATTTGACGCTTCTCTTCAGCTAGTCACCGATGATTGGTGTCTTCTCCAGGTCCAAGGACCGAAGAGTGTCGAGCTGATGGACGAGATCACTGATAAGGGCGTACGAGACATCAAATTTATGCATTGGAAGGAACTTTCTATCGATGGCATCAAATTCAAATGCTTGAGACAAGGCGTTTCTGGCGAATTTGGATTCGAGATATGGGGTCCAATGAAAGATGCCAAGAAGATCTTTACTTCTGTTCTTGAGAAAGGCAAGAAGTATAACATTCGTCGGCTTGGCGCACGTGCAAAATGTGTGAATCACGTACGTTTTCCAGACTTTCCGTCGGAGCTATCATGTGTCTTCTCGTCAGATATAGAGCCGTGACGACTTCCTTGACTTGAAGCCGAGATGTGCTGACCCAACCTTGTTTAGACAGAAGCAGCCTTCGCGACACCGGCAATCGACTTCATCCCCGCTATTCACGAGCCAGCAGAAAGCGAAGAGCTAGCAAAGTTTCGAAAATATACGCAAGACATTAATTTTGACTTTGAGCTATACTTATCAACAGCGTATGGCAGCTACGGCACGGATCCGAGACTGTATCACTTCACTCCCTTTGACCTAGGTTGGGGTTGGCTTGTCAACTTGGATCACGATTTTATTGGACATGATGCGCTTGCTAAAATCAGGAATAGCCCCCCGAATAAGCTAGTGACGCTCGTGTGGAACAAGGAAGATGTAGTTGATGTTTTTGCGTCCCTCTACCGCCCTGAGTCGTATGAGTATATGGAGATGCCTCGCAATTTACTCGGTGCTGTCAACGGAAGCACCGTTTCTATCAGTGGCAAGACCATCGGGTGTGCCGTATCTCGGTGCTACAGCTACTGGTTCAAGGACACGATTTCACTGGGGATCATCAAGACGGAGCACGCCGTTCCGGGTACGGCTGTTGAGGTGACATGGGGCTCGGCAGGATACCCACGAAAGATCATCAGAGCGGTAAGAAACTCCATCTACACATTGAGCCTGCCATTTAGAATACTCAGTCAAGCTTTTCTAGGAGAAAGTTGATCCCTTCTAACAAAAAAAAACAGGTAGTGCAGCCCGCTCCTTATAAGGAGGACAAGCGTCGTTATTCGATTCGGTAAAGGAGTGTGATCAAGGGACAGATGGACCAGGTACATAAATTCATTTTCCATTGTAATGATGTTCGATCGGTCATGTTACAGGATATAGTTTAAGTGCCTCTTGACTTCAAGTCCGGCATAAGAACTAAGAAATGAATCAGGCCAGCACAGACGCACATCGGCCATGTATACGTATGCTGCGTTGAGTTGGTTGGGCCCTGGCAGCTTTATTGCTGTTAAATTTTATCCTCTTTCTCCTACACATATACGTATGAGTGTACACGTATGAGAGTATACATGTATGAGTAATGAATACTGAGGCTGCAGCAGCATTGCCACGCTAACGGCCCCATAAAGACTCCGAATCCGAAGGACGACGAGACTGAAACTGGGGTCGAGGCCGATCTTTATGCGCTGTACCAACCCCGCAAGTGTCCAGGCGTTTCTACCCCAGCTATGGATATATGCCGTAGACTGCCCCGGACCATCCGTCCGCCCAGACGACATTTAATCTTAGCATTAACATCACTAAAGTAAGATCCGCTTCCTGGTCGTGATGATACCCTCCACGGCCACGAATACGGCCACTACCATGGCCAGCGGCATGTCTGTGTTCTCGCTGCACGGACAGCCCGAAGTAACGCATACCTGTCGCTTATGTCCCAAGGCTTTCAAGCGAGCTGAGCATCGGAATCGGCATGAGCGATCTCGTGGGTGTCTCCAACACAACCTCACCTTTTGCCCCTCTCACTCGCTAACTGTCGTCTAGACTCTCAGGAAAAACCCTTTGCATGCCGCGTCTGTGCAAAACGTTATGCTCGCGCGTAAGTGTGCAGTCCTGTCTTTGCCAATGGCCAGCCTAGGTAATCAATCTCAAAACTACCAGCGACCTTGTCACGCGACACGAAAAAACTGTCCACAAGAAAGCCCGGAATTCTAGGAACCCGGGAGGGCCGCCAAGGAAGATTCCGTCACCCGAGGATAACGAAACGGTTGGAATTAGTAACGACGATGAAAGTCGGCAGAAGACACCATCCAATGTCGCTATGGCTGCCGAAGACGGTACCACCGATACTTGTGATCCGCCTCTACTTGGTATGACCCTGTTAACGCCATCCGGGTGCATTTTAAACCCCCAACATGTCAGTCCTCTGGATGCCACCGATATGTCGGTGGCCCAGGATTCATGTGATTTCTTTCTCGACCCATCGCAACCTAATTCTCAACTAAACGCTTTGTTTGGTCAAGGATTCGATGGTGGTTTTGACGCTGACCTCTCACCCTCCTTTTTTGATCCCTTTGTCGGCGGATCGTTTGACCAGTTTGCCCAGCCATTTGGTGCGGATGAGGCTATCAGAGAAGAGACCTTCCAGGTGGCGCCAGAGTCTTTCGAAGATTCCCTCCATACTCAAAGTCTTGAGATGGAGTTACCTGCTTCATTAGAAGTAGGAGATTGGTACACTCGACAAGACAATTCTAATAATAGAAAACAACCCCGGGCAAAGAATACCCTTGGGCTCGTCTTTACTGAAGAAATCAGGGCTCGATGCTTGGCAGATTTGAAATCACATCTGACTACGGAGCAGATAGGGGATTTCCAACTTCCAGAGCTGACATCACTACAACACTGTCTCGATAAATACTTCGAAGTCTTTCACATCCACTTCCCATTCATACATCTCCCTACACTTGATCTTATGTCTGCTCCCAGCCCTCTTATTTTAGCCATCTGTGCAATAGGTGCTCTTCATCGGCTGGAAAGAAGGCTCGCCGCAGCGCTCTGTCTTATGGCTGAGCGGGTCTTGGCGAGTGTAGAAATGCGCAGGCTAGATCATGGTCCGACACTGCTGTTATCTTTCGCCAAACCGCTTGATTCGCCGCCGTCGGATCTTGCGCCGCTCATGATAGCTCAGGCACGCTTGCTTGTCGTCTTTCTACTCAGCTTCAGTGGAGAGCCGGGTCTGATTAGACGAGCCCTTGTTGGCTGCGGTTACATTTCTGCAGCAAGTGAAAAGCAGGAACTTCACTTGTGCATTGAATTACGCTAACATGACATAGGACTTTCGATTGAGGAGGTCAGTCGTGCGACCCAGAGATAGGACCCAATACTTTACCAAGTGGAAGCAATGGGCGGCTCACGAATCGATGAAACGGTACGAACCCTTGCTCAAAGCTCATGTCTACTACGCTGACTCAGTCTAGGTATATGTGCACGTGTATCATTCTTGGAAACTTGCTCAATATCGCCTATGGCATCAACCCAGGGTTTTCTGTGCTGGATGAATGTGATGTTGAGCTTCCTGGCGACGATGAGCTCTGGGAAGCTACAACGCCATCTCAATGGGAATCGCTCATAGATAACAAGTCGCGCCCGCCTCTCGTAAGTCTCGGCAAGGCAGCTTCAATGTTCTTTACGGACTCAGACCGTATCGAAACCCTACCACGCGGCGGATGGTCGTGGTCTGCTTTTGCTACATCAGCCGTGATTCATCAAGTAGCGATTGCAGTCTGGTATCTGACACAAGGACAACAAGCTTGCAACAACGTGACCCAGGATGCACGAGAGCGTTCCCGCCCAGAGTCAACGCGAATTGAGGCCGCCCTCTCTCAATGTCGGGAGCTACTCATTAGAAGGAGTGGCGGAAACGACAAAGCTTGGAACGAAGAGGACAGTCCGTTACTCTTCAACGCTTGCGCCATCCTGCGCGTCTCGTACGGGAGAGCTTTCATGACAGTCCGGTTCTTGGACCGCTCACTACTAATCAAGGACAATCCGCAAGATAAGCTTGCCATCTTACAGAGATATCACGCGGCCTCGCAGAAACGGGGTCAGCTCATTACCTTGGCGGTGAATCGCGCCCTAGAGGGGTTCGCAATCCCGATACGTGCAGGTATCTTCCTGATACAAAAGACGGCCGCTTTCAAGTGGAGTGTAGAGCATGCTCTTGCAGCTTGGGATGCTGGTAAGTCACACACCACTTTTGTTCATCAAAGGTCAACCCTTCTAAGCGTGTCTAGCTTTACTTGTGACTAAATGGGTGCATGCCATCGAGACTCTTCATGAATCAGGTCGGATAATTGCGCCAGAAGAGAAGCAAGTTGTGCAGAATGTTCGCCATCTTTTGAATGAAGTCGACACTGAACATGCTAGAGGGCATTCTCTGGCTGCAGCACTTGCTCGTGTCTGGGCTAATCTATACGACGATACCTGGGTCTGGGGAGGTGCGTCTGCAGGATCTAACACATTCCATATCTGAAGGACTAACAAGAGGATAGTTGCGCCAAGCATTGGCTGGGCACTTCGACAGCTCGCAATAATGTATGAAAAGGACCAGGCGGTCTTGTGACGGAGTTCAAATTGAAGTATGTGTACAAGTATCAAACAGCAAGGGCGGCTGTAGCGGAACCAATGGTAATGGAATCGTAAATGTACCAGAAGTGAAACACATATAAATTTGATGAATTCTCGATATTGATCTCAGCATCCTATGCCTATCTTCTATGTCAATGGTGGATGAGGCAATTATTACGCTGATGCATACAATGAGATAGATGGATATCATAGGGCTTCCAGCCCAGAACAACTTGAGAACGACATAGGGTAATCTGGAGAAAATCGGGCAAGGATCTCCTTTTGAGCTCATCCCACATGTCCCGATATAGTAGTGGGGGTTCTGATGTTTCCTTTTCTGTTTATAGAGCGTTTGAGAGTTGTGGGGAACTGGAGTTGGAGCCGTGCTGATGATTTAGTGTGTGCTTGGATTCTAAAGTAAGGCCTATAAATTGCTCGAAGGTCAAATATCAACTCTTTTTTAACTCATCACTCGCTTGCTCTTATAACAGGAATCGCTCGTTTTGGCAGTAGAAATATTGGAGGTCAATTGCACAAGCCGACAATATGTCTTCCCGAATTGCCGCCTGGGCTCAAGGTATCGATTCTCACCAATGGGGCACCACGTTGTTTGCTGTACTCATCGCTGCTGCGGTCTATCTATTCCTACCACACCGGGAGAGTGACATACTTTACTTGAACCGCCCTGCAAAACTCGACTTGTTCGGTCGGAATGCCAGGCACAACTTTGCCTCTAATGCTCGCAGTCTCATGGCAGAAGGTCGCCGACTCTGCAAAGGATCGCCTTACAGGCTGTTTACCGACCTTGGAGCCTTGATCGTGATACCGTCCCAGTCTGTGGACGACGTCAGAAATGAGCCGAGTCTTAGTTTTATGGAGTTCTTCGTCGACAACTTCCACCCTGACATTCCTGGATTCGATGGATTTAAGTTTGACGGTCGAAAGGACGAGCTTTTGCACAGAACGATCAACAAGAAGCTCACTAAATATCTCAGTCAGTGGAATGGTGGACTATGGATCGACTAGAAGCGTGCTCATCTCTTTCAGATCATGTTATTGCACCATTATCATCAGAAGCAGCGTTCGCAACTGACCACGTCTTGGGATCATCAACTGGTTAGATTAATCCTTACACTTCCAACAAGTGATTAGCTTACTAACTATATCAGAGTGGCAGCAGGCCCCGGTGATGGAAACAATGCTGGAATTGATTGCGCGGGTATCCTCGCGTGTATTTCTTGGCGAAGAGCTTTGCCGGAACTCCGACTGGTTGGCCATAACCAAGTCTTACAGCATCAATACCTCACTAGCCGGTGACTTACTTCGACAGTACCCCAAATGGCTTCGACCTTTTGTGTGCAACTTTATCCCCCAATGTCGCGAGCTTCAAAAACAAGTTGCAAACGGTCGAAAGGTGTTGGATCCAATTCTACGAAGTCGTGAAGAGGAGAGAGAGGCAGCATTGGCTAATGGAGATACCGAGCGCCGGTATAATGACACAATCCAGTGGCTTGTAGACGAGAGTCAAGGAAGCTCATATGATCCAGTCGGGGCTCAACTGGGTTTCTCCGTTGTAGCTACTCACACCACTACAGACTTGATCACGGAAACTATGATTCGCCTTGCTGAGCGTCCTGAGCTAGTCGATGACCTTATTCAGGAAATCGAAGATGTGCTAAAGGTAGAAGGTTGGACCAAGACCGCCTTGTTCAGCATGAAGCGTCTTGACAGCGTTATAAAAGAGGCACAAAGACTTAAACCGTTGACTTCTGGTAAGATCTGTTTACTCCATGTTCACAGCCACAGTTGTTAATTGTGTGCAGCTACGATGAATCGCAAGGCCACTAAGCGTGTCACACTTCCAGGGGGCCTCGTGCTTGAGAAGGGAGACCGTTGTATGTCAGATCTTGGATCGATGATGGACTCTACCATCTACCCAAACCCTGATGAATACGATGGGTACCGATTCTTCCGCATGCGTGACGACCGAAGCGCGGGTAGCAAGGCGCACTTGGTGAGTACATCCTCAGCTCATTTAGGCTTCGGTCATGGTAAGCACGCTTGTCCAGGAAGATTCTTTGCGGCAAACGAAGTTAAGCTCTTGCTTTGTCATCTACTTTACAAGTATGAGTGGAAGCTTGAGCCGGGATATGTTCATAAAATCACGGAGTTTGGGTTAGCCCTGTTCCCAGACGGCCAAGCACAGATATCCTACCGGAGGCGACAGAACCTTGCGGTGAATATCGATTCCTTATAATTTGGATTCTTTGCAACTGTGCCCAAGTATGAGAGGCGTATCTCGATATAACTTGGCATCCTAAGTCTAAGCCTCGCTTGTCCTTGAAGCTCACTGTATTTACTAGTATGTATTCAATGAGAATTCTCATATATTTATACATGCCTTATGTTAAACGAAACCTGTCCTCACGCCATTAGAATAAAACTCTTTCTAGTGTTTTAGTGCAGATTTTGTGAGTAGTCTACTTAAAGAGTGAGTAATGGATGGTCTACCTAGATAGAAATTAGAAAAGAATATCATTAACATAACATAAGTCAAGTCATAATAAGCAAAATACAAGATGGATCTGTCACTATAGCAAGAAAGTAATAATCTCATTCATACTTAATTTGGAATATTTTTCTAGATATCTTGCACTTGGTCCCGAGTGTCTTTGGATTCTCTGCACTAAGCTGCCGTAGCGCAGATCCCCTTTCGCGCGCTTCCATAATTTTCTTCTTGATACTCCTTGTTCTCTATCCTCCTCGATTCAGGCGATATCTGTTTTAATAAGTAAGTAAATTGTGGTATGAGCAGTATCAGGGGGATATCTCGATAAGGCCTCAGTTAAAGAGTTAGGTAAGGCCTTAGTGAGATCTAACTTACTGGTGATTTGATGGGGTCAGAGCTGGATATTAGAATTATTACTCTATGTTATAGTTTTCTCATTGGGGCTATTATATCTGCAGGTATCCTGAAGATAGAAGCCTGTCCTTATATTCAACCCGTTGAAGAACTTATTAAGTATAAATTAGTATCTAGTTTATAGTAATATATCCTCCTATTGAGCGGGAGGTATAGTCTCCTTAGCCTTCTTATAATACTTATTAGTAACTGACTGCTTGATATACTTATTAATATCAGGCGTATAGATATTGCTGAATTTACTGGTAAAGGATAGATACTTGTTATCTATCTGCGGGTTGATTAGATTAGTATGCGCCTTGATGTATATATATTCCTTGGGATATAGAGGCTCCTATGGGTCTATGCCCCTCTAGTAGAAGAACTTATTTTGCTAACGGGTGGGGAAGCGTGAGCTGGATGTTTTGAGGACTGCTGTGTGTCAGTCTATTTGGTTATCCTCAGTATAGCCAGCGCTAGTATCGCTGGGGACCTCGCGACCTTGCACCAGCTGGGCACGTACGGAAGAGTACTCTTGCGCGGACTCGAAGACCAGGCCCGATGACGTACTCTTCTCCGTATGTTTTTTCACTGCCTCTTTGAGGACTGTTGCCGGTGCATACTGGAGATCGCCTGGTTTTGCGTCCTGACCAGGTCTGTCCTGGTATGGTAGCGTTCAACTACCTGATAATTCTTTCCACCATGTATCAAATAGGTTTAAATAGAGACCACCGCTCCTTTCCTCCTGCAAATTCACTGTCCTGCCAGGCAGCATGCTACCTCTCGCCTATGAATTATTTTCAAAGACCATCTTCAACAACCGTGCGTCCATCTCGTTTGCCTTGGCGTCACACTCCTCCTTCCCTTCCCAGAGATGCACACTGCTATGCACCAGGCTGATGGCCAAAATGGCCAGATGCAGAAACCTGTCGTCTGACCGAGCCCACAGAACAGATTTCTCGGTACACTTCGCATTGTAAGCCCTTACATCCTTCACAAGCCAATCTAGGAATCGGTCCCTGTCTCTCTCCCGGGCAATCAGGAGCTGGGCACTCCAGTTCTTGACCGAAACCATGGCTGTACCGCGGAACTTGGCCAACGACTCAATATCATGGTGATGGCACCATTTCATTGAATTCGATTGCGACCTGGACAAGGGATAAGCAGTGAAGCACTGTATGTGGTATCGGGAGGTTGCGAACATGAAGAGAGGACGTTCATGAGGCGGTTCATGCCGCCCAGCAACTGTCGGAGGTCCTATGTGAACTCCTGCTGAGAGCGGGCAACTTCGTCGATAGGTGTTTGATGGAAAGGATCAATGCCTATACAGGATTGACACACAGCGATAACCTGATGTGCAAAAGAATTGAGGGCTTTGGGTGCGACCAGGATTCGAAAGGGCAAGACGGGCAGCCGATTCGGCCAAGGCGCTCTGAGATGAGGGTGCATGATTGCTTGATGTGTTCCCGTACGCAGGGCGGGCGTGTGCACCATCACGCACCACCTCCTCGCGAGTGTACTGATACGTTCGCGTTAATGCATTGAGCGAAGGAGTCAATCGAGTGCATTTAAGTTCATGGGCATTAAATGGAGGACAAAAGGACAAACTCCCTGGGAGAACTCGTATGCTCCTTTGGGATCACGAATCTCCTCGCGTACACTCATCGAGTCAGAGCAGATGCCGGTCTGTGTTACCCCTGAGATAGGTAAACCCAGAAGGTGTAATGGTATCGCTCTAGTACTGCCAAGTAACTAGCAGGTGTTCAGCGGATCACAATCACAGTGTGAGACTTGCCTCACTCGAAACGTCAGTGCCGGTGGGCCCATTGCGGCAATTCTTCAGTATTACCTTGCATTAGGTGTTCTCTCAACGTGTAGGTTGATTCGGCCTTATCTGGGCCTCTTGTCGAGGTGAGTCTTAGCACCTCTAGAGTCCAAGCTGCCCACATCCTTGAGCTTTTAGAACTCGGACAGTTTTCTGTTTGTCACTTATTGCGTTGAGGACGTAGAGTGATGATTCTCCTCCCGAGCCATGTCTAAATAAACCGGAGTGAGGACGATGCTCCCGATGCACGGCTCTATGATATCCATCGTTTCTGACTTGAGCTCATGCACAATCAAGCTCATATACGTTATGATAGGACCGAAACAATCCGCCTGTTTCATAGGCTACGCATCAACCATGTCTCTGTCCATGGTGGGCATGTTCGCTGGGACGTCCAAGTCCCTATGGCTCTCTGGGAGTTTCAAGGTATCGAGCATGCTACGCTCGGTAAGGATATCGACCATGGTGGTAAGATACCGGGCCGTGGTATCCTGGAGGTATCGGGCCATCCGGCCAAAGGACTGTGTATTTCCATTGGGGTTAGGGAATGTATTCAGCCCCGGTCCGCGGTAGCACGCCTTTTGAAGGTTGATCCCAGCCGTGTGGATATTGATATTTAGTATCAGCACCATGGCGTCGGAGGTTAGGATCGTTAAATTCCGCGATTGCCCGCTGGCGAGCGGGTGCTTTATCATATGACCGTACCGAGGCTGGGTTGAATCCAGCTAGTTCAAATAACGCCGTTATCTGTCTGTGTATACATGTCAGCGTACATTCTTCCGCTAGGAGGGGAGAGGTCGGCGCGGTTCGATTCGGTCAAAGTCTACCGAAAAAGTCAGTCTACTTTCACCGAATCAAGGGGCATCGGGGGCGAACTTACTAGTACAGCATAGGACAGTCCACCAGCATAAACTCTTTTTTCTTAAGGACCTTAACGGTGTGGAAAGTCTCCCTGTATGCGAAAGTCACGGCTGGGGAGTCCTGGAGATAGTATAGAATTTGGTGGTGGTCAATGCGGCCGTGCTGGCGCTTGCGTCATCCTGATCAACTTCCTCAATAACACCAAGCCAAGGTACTCTTGATTTAACTTCGACATTATGAGGTGGCACAGAGGCCTGTTGAGCTTTAATAGACAGGGGGCCTTTTTGGCTAGGGCCTAGCCTCTGCTGGGCTTAGAAACCACCTTCAGACTTGCCACGCGGAACTGCGTCCAAGGGTTTGACCATATGGAAGCAGATCTTTCCTAGCCATTTACGTTCCACTACTACCATCAGAAAGAGTCCGTCTATAACCAAAATAATACTATGATATGTATTGAACAATTCCAGGGGTTAAATTGAACAATATCAGGAGTGACAATAATATCGTGGGTCAGAATCGAATACACTTATCGTTTGATTTTGCCCGGGGCGTCTGATTCGAAGCTTGATAGCAGCCCAAGCTCGTACTCCGTCGGAATCCAGGCATGAGGCGGTGGGAGAGCAGCATCGAAACCCTACCCATGATCTTCAAGAAGCGCTTGTTGGCTGCCATCTCGGCAGCCTCTTGCATTGCAATAGAAACGGGCTTATCCTTGAATGCCTTGTAACTCTCGACGTGTAGACGGGTAATGGCATTGTTCATTGAATCTGTAGTCGTTCCCATCGAGACACAAAGTATCACAATACGTACGGGCATAGTACAGTACATAGAGCAATGAGCCTGTGGGGTTGAGCCGGGGACGGCCAATCCAAGCAGGTGTAAAACTCCTTGCTCAATCTCGCAGGTGTAAATCGCTCCAAATATTACTGGCAGCAAGCATTGGAGATCCGCTCCGCTCCATCCACAGTTGATTTTGTCGATGGTGACTCTGGCATGGATTCATATAGCGGTGATGAGCCAGAACAAAACAATGTAGCCATATTCCCATGTATCCCGTTGTGCTGCACAGGGGAGAATGAAGGACTCGTGGCCTGAATCGAAGCCGGCTCTAATAAGGAAGTTGTTGGTAACCTGGCTCACGACGGCGGCACGGTGCTCGCGGCCGCTGTGAAGGCTGTTGAGTATGTAACTCTGGCCGGCTCCGAGATCGATGATTCTGGACCCCCATGCCTCATACCACTGATCCCCAACTCGAAGATCGTGTTCCTCATCTCGTCATCCGTCATATCATCAACGGGCTTGCTCCCGATATAACTGTCCCTGGCGTCCAACCTGTCCTGTCCCTTGCTGTATGGCTCGGCAACAGCCTAGCTGTTACCATCAAATGACCCCGCTGTCATAGACGTCCAGTTGTTGGGGCCAGACGTATCCCTCGACGGCGCGCGAGCCGTCTGCTGGGCTGGTGCCCCCGCGCCCGACGAAGCAGACATACCATGCCTACCGTCATTATTGAACTGACCACCGCCCCAGTGATTACCCTTCCTGCTCCTATCGCACCGACCATGCGTCTCCATCGACGCAGGCCTAGAGGGCGCGTGGCTGGGGGGCAGCAACATCTTCACCTCCTACCCCAACCTCTCCTTGGCACTCATGTTCTGGCCACAGCTCCGCCGTTGGTGCCCGACATGATGGGCTGAGTGTTTTTTGCTGCTGTTTCTTGTTGTGATTGTTGTTGGCGGTATCGGCAAATGCTAAAGCTCAGTCCCAACCCTGCTCATCATCATGTCCCCGGTTTGTTCCTGGTCGCCGGCTGTGCTTCTGTCATGACGGCAGTAAGAAGCCGTGGGAATGTACTCAGAACCTCTTCGTAAGCCTCAGGGGGGGAGCCAGTTGTGGTGTTTTCTCGGTGTCGATGTGAAATGGATATGGGAAGTCTGAAGCTGGATAGAATGTTAGGTCTGGGAGACACACAGGGACCATTTTGAAGGTAGCTTTGCGTGAGATGTAATTAAGGGCTCCAAAAATTCATCGACGACGCTTAGTCCAGCACCTTCAATGTAGGAAGAAGAGGACGTTGGAAAATCAGCTTGCCAGTACTGAGACTATCCTCGTCATACAGCCGAAGCGTGGTCGACAAGAGGAGGACCATGGCTTTGCTAATGGCATCGTTGGCCATATGAATGGGAGCAAACTCCCTCATGGTAAGAAAGTCGCTTCATTTACTGTCGTCCTGTTGATCTTCGAGATCGGCGGAGGACCTTTGCTACTGGCCATGATCATCGCTTTCTTCATCACCGTTCTTGTCATCGTCGCTGCATTCACTTCTTACTATGTAAGCCACCCTCGCCGCCATATTTCTGTTTCTTTGCTCTCTCTTGCTGTGACTGTTCCAGGGACTAGTTCGTCCTCAATAGCAGACATATGCAACCAATACTATCACACGGACGTAACTGCCGGCAACATCAGGTATCGCCAATGGTGACAGTTGAATGTGTTGGGATTGACGGTTCAGAAATGATGTTTTGACCCTCCAGCCTCACACTGATAGAACTCGGTCTAGAGTCATTCGAGACGAATTGTGAGGGGGCGAGGAAAAGTTCATATGCGTTCGAGAGCGTGTTTACTTGCCAATGGAGCCAGCTGCACTGGGCCAAAACACAAGTAGCTGGGCTGCATTGACCGCAATCGTCATCATTGAATTGCTCTTACCTCCTCTGGCGCGGCTGCCGGTTGGAGTTGAGCTTTCATGATAACAATGAAGGTACTGAAGTATACCAACGGTAGTATATAACGACGTTCAGCAATGCCACTAACCCCACGATCGAGTTCGTCCTTTGGCATTATAACAATCAACTCCCTACCCTTCCTCTTGCTGGGATGCAGGGTTACCACCGCGAAGCTTGAAATCCAATGCTTTCGTCGGGTAGCTCTGACAGCATGGTTCAGATCTGCATTCATAAGAGCAGGATTCAGCTTCGCATACGCATCCCCACGACCCAGCACCTAGATATGGCGGAACCCCTGTTGCAGCTGATATGTATGTATACATTCACCACCGAGTGCGTTATTGCGACGATGGCGCCTTCGACGACGTGTACGAGAGGATGATGTGGAGAAGAATGCCCAGCTAGAGTCATTTGAAAGTGTTTTTGCGTAGCTGCGCTCGTGATTTCGGGGGACATCATACGCCATGTCGATCGGGGAACGGGGGCATACGTTTGTTGCATCTCCTGTACCACAAGCCGCGTTTGTCTCTCAAGGGGTGAGAAATGTATAGAAATAGGGAGAAGATGAGTGGGAGATCGTACGATGTTTTGTACTCTCCCGGAGGAGGTTGGTATTCAACACAGTTATGAAATTCTTGACAGAACTAGCCCAGTGCAATAACCCCGAGAATGTATTCGGCATGCCTTGGCAATAGATGAAATACAGCAGTGGTGGCAATTAATATTGACCACAACTTGTTGAAGATCGTGTTTCTTGTTGGCTTGCGGTGTAGAAGAGCGGCGGACGGCAACATGCGCCTTGGCATCAGGCCGATCGGTAGGCGTTTTCGAAGCTCGGTTGCTGCCTTGGCCTTGAGGTTTCCCTCATAAGATAGTCCCGCTAGGTAGAGATGCGCTTCATGAAAAAGCAGGGACTATGACTTGCTAAATTGCAGGGAGCAAAAGCCAGGAACACTAGGTATTTGATCGAAAGAAGGGAGACCATTCAGTCATAAGTATGTCTGGATACTTTATCTTGAGCGCCGAACAGAGGCAAGCCTGTTCACGCTTGACTGGCGTACTAACTCAAGATGAGGAGCTCGTCTGCAACGCGCTTCTTGCTCGAAGAAGCAGGAACCCAGAATGCAGAAAGCAGAACCTTTACGAGTGGATGTGAGGGGCTTCGACCTGTGGCGAGACAGTCAGAATGCTGAAGCCGTCGAGCATCGCGAAGGAGTTTGGGTGGCGTAAGAGCAAGAAGAGGCTCGTCAAGAGACGTATCCTTCTCGAAGGAACGAGTGGCATTCTCGGAAGCCTAGGCTTCCTTGGGGTTGAACAGTCCCACAGGACAGTGGATGGAGTGATTCTTCGGCGATATCCTTGGGATCCTGTGCGCGCTTGATGCAGTACTGTTTGCGATTCAAGTACCAATTTTCATGTGAAATTTTAGCAAGGTCTAGATTGTACAGGATGTTCTTCGGCAGATGATCTTTCTATTTCACTGAAAAAGTTGTACTGGGAGACTTATGTCGGACGCGGTCTGTCTTGAAGAAAATTCTGACAATGCACTCTTCATCGGGAAGGATGTCGCTCATCTCTCCAGCCTTCAGACAAACGAAGCATTTGTAAAGGATGCCCATAGGGTGAAATGCCCACGCGGTCGCGATAATTCTCCTCCGATTCACCATTTCGAAGCGACTCGACAGAGGGAGCGAGTGGATAGGTTAAGGGAAGGATTCTTGTCCTACATCTCCTTGAAATAAGCTCGGTTATGCTGTTTGCAAGTCTGAGTGCCGTGCATCGTAATTGGGCCTAAGATTACCGTGACTCTTCAAGTAGTCTATTTGACGATGGAGGCTATTTTCTCCTACGGTCTTCTGGGTCCTGTCGAGATTTCGGTTTCTATTAGTCGCGATCAGCCGTGACAAGTAATATATATTCACGCGTTTCTGGAGGGTGCCCATCGTCAATTGAATATCAATGAGGCGGAGGTTCTCCGCCACGTGGGCAATCTCGCCCGTGAATATCCTTGCCGCTGTAAGGCTGGAAGAGGTTGCGTTCCGGCTTGTTGGTAGGTATTATCATATCGATCACGCGCGCGATGTTCTCAATCTTGCCAATCGCTTTGGCCAGCACACCTAGATCGCTGTAGATACCCAGGCTTTCTTTCATGGAGGGGGAACACAATAGGACCGGCCGCTCATGGAGGGGTATTGAGTGAGATGCCCACCTTTCCACACCATCAAGCAAAGCTTTGCATGGACAAATATTTGGAGACAAATGACGGAACTTCTTCATGTTTTTAGCCAAGCCAGAGGGGGTTTC